AAGCCTTGGGACCCTGCATCTGCGTGGGAGACCTGCAGGAAGTTCCTGGTTCCTGGCTTTGGATTGGTCGGCTCAGCACCGGCCTTGCGCTCTCTTGAGGAGTGAATCATCGGATGGAAGATCTTCCTCTGTCTCTCCTCCTCTCTGTATATCTGACTTTGTAATAAAAAATAAACCTTTTTAAAAAAGAAAGAAAGAAAGAAAGAAAGAACAAAAGAAAGAAAGAAAGAAAGAAAGGAAGAAAGAAAGGAAGAAAGAAAGAAAGAAAGAAAGAAAGAAAGAAAGAAAGAAAGAAAGAAAGAAAGAAAGAAAGAAAGAAAGAAAGAAAGAAAGAAAGAAACTCTGCTTTGGGAAAGGCAGTGCTGTTGTCAGTTGACAATTTTTTAAGATTTATGACCCTGGCGCGTTCAAGGCGAGGACTTCAGCTGCTAGGCCATGGTGCTGGGCCCCACGCTGACACTTTTGCCCATGACAGGTTTTCAGCAAACATCCTGGTGCCAGGGGTGTTAGGTACGTGGTCACTGCACTCCCAGAGGCGAAGGACGAACAGACTCAGTCAAGACGTCCTTGAATCGCTCATCACCCTAAAGCTAAGTCTGCGCGAGTGAGAACCTCAGCATAAAACCCCAACCATCTTCTCACGGTTCATCGCTACTGAGAAACTGGGCTTGCAGGCCAAACGGCCTGCGTGACCTTCAGCGGCCTGCGTGACCTTCAGCACTGGGCCCCTTTTCCTATGAACCCAGGCCCGCCCTATTCTGATTCTCAGTGGCTGCAAGTAACTAAGTGGGTGTTTCCCCTAGTGGCTGGAGGCCTGGGCTGTCCGGCCGAGACAGGCAGGGAATGTGTGCTATTTCCCTCACCCTGTGGGCTATTGTGGATTGCCCCCACCTTTTTTTTTTTTTTAAGATTTATTTATTTTTATTGGAAAGGCTGATATACAGAGAGGAGACAGAGAGGAAGATCTTCCATCCCTCCAAAGATTCACTCCCCAAGAAGCCACAATGGCTGGAGCTGAGCCAATCCGAAGCCAGGAGCCAGGAGCCTCTTCCTAATCTCCCACATGGGTGCAGGTCCCAAGGCTTTGGGCCGTCCTTGACTGCTTTCCCAGGGCACAGGCAGGGAGCTGGATAGGAAGCAGCGCCCATATGGTATCCAAGTGCATTCAAGGCGAGGACCTAAACCACTATGCTATTGTGCCAGGCACGTGTGAATTGCCCCTTTTCAAGCTATTGTGCCTGCCATATAAAAACTCTATGAATGTGCTGTTGGGGCCACACTCCAGTGAGGGGTTTTGATCCCTTGCAAAAGGTTGGCCAGTCGGCCAGCTGCCTGCTCTCAACAAAGAACCCAGGCTCGGCTGTGCCGAGCTTGAATAAACCATCCTTGTGCACTTGGATCGACTACAAACTCCTGGTCATTTCTGGAGATCTTAAAATCAGGGCCAAACCTGAGCTAGCACTCAGATACTGGAAATGGCTCTGTCAACGTGCCAGGTCAATGCCCTGCGGGACGAAATACAAGTTGTTCACCAGAGACATGGTTTAGAGGCCAACTCATCATTTCTACCAAAGCCTCACTCAGTTTTCTCTTTTAAGTCTATCATCCCTCTGGGCCCGGCGCGATAGCCTAGTGGTTAAAGTCCTTGCCTTGCATGTGCTGGGATCCCATATGGGCGCCGGTTCTAATCCCGGTGGCCCTGTGTACCATCCAGCTCCCTGCTTGCGGCCTGGGAAAGCAGTGGAGGACAGACCAAAGCCTCGGGACCTGCACCCGCGTGGGAGACTGGGAAGAGCTCCTGGCTCCTGACTCAAGCCATTGGGCCGCTAGGGGAGTGAATCATCGGATGGAAGATCTTCCTCTCTGTCTCTCCTCCTCTCTGTATATCCGCCTTTCCAATAAAAATAAATACATCTTTTTAAAAATCCTTTATTGTAGTAATTATGACGATTCCTAACAATTGTTACTAGCTCCTTTCAAAAAGAAATCTATCGTCCCTTAACGTTTTCTCGTTGACGCCACCCGACTTGCACGGCTGGAAACAACAGCCCAAATAAGTTTATAGCCAAGCTGAGCCTCCTCTAGGTGTTGGTCGGGTGTGGATTGATGGAAATACCCAAGAGGGGCTTCTCGGGAGAGGAAAGGTGTGTTTCTGCTTCCCATGTAGAGGGGACAGCTCAGGATCGGGGCGCCCTGGCCTTTTTGGAAGCTGACCATCTGGGTGCAGAACAATCACAGGGTCCACCAGGCCCTTGGCACAACCTGGAAGTGAAGGATGGGATCGATGTTGTGCCGGAGCATGTTAAGCCTCCGCCTGCATGGCCAGTGTGTCCTGCGGGAGCACTGCTGTGTGCTGACCGCTCCGCTTCCCCTTCAGCTCCTTGCCTGTGGCCTGGGAGGCAGCAGAGCACGGCTCAGGGACTCGAGTCCCTACCACCACACGGGAGACAGATGGGGTTCCTGCATTTGGCCTGACGCAGTCCCGGATGTTGTAGCCATTTGGGGAGTGAACCAGCGGATGGCAAGTCTCTGCTTTTCTCTATGTCACCTCACTTTCCACCACATTCAACAAAATAAAAAAGTAGAGAGACCAGGTGAGACTCACTGATTGACCACAGTCCTATTTACTAGTCAACGCCACGTGTCCAAAATCCTCTCCTGTCCACGTTTGGGAGGGCCACAGTTCCTGCGCTCCAGAACACTAAGCTATGAAGTTTGACCCGCGGGAACATTGGCTCTGCAGCGCAAGCACTGACAGGACAGCAGCTGGCACTCGCAGAAACACCTTTCCTGGGAGATGTCCACGCACCCCATCCCTGGGTGGCCGGCAGCTGGCACACAGACCTCACCACCCACACAGAGACAGTTGGAAACATGATATTTCTATAAAGGTTTTTTAGAGTTATTTAAAATTTTTTTTTAACATTTTACTTATTTTTATGAGAAGGAAAGATTTACAGAGAGGGAAGGAGAGACAGATCTCCCACGTGTGGCTTCACACTCTGCCGAGCCCAGGCAGAGCTGCGTCAGAACGCTCACCTGCTTCTGAAATGCGGCGTGGCAGGGCTCCCACGGGCACTGGAGGTCCTCACGCGGGCAGGGTTTCTCAAGCGTGTGGCAGGGCCCTGCACACCCAGCGTGGGACCCCTCACACGGGGTGGGGGCTCCTCACTCGAGGCCCCAGACTCCTCTTAAAAAAAAAAAAAACAACAAACTGGGAGAATGTCAAGTGAGTTATAAGGCTAGCCTAAGGACATCAACGTTCAAGTTAACCTTATCAGGTTTGAATGGCTTGATCAGTTGGATTAGATTGATGTCCAAATCATTCCACACTGTATTTTAGGACAATTTCATGATGTTCTAGACACTGCTGTTATTTAATGTCAGAATTCTCTGTGGGGTCAGGCCCCCAACCCATGGTGACTGGCTCCACAGGCTCTCACAGTATCCCACCAGCCTGGGTGGGAGAATGGTGTGAGCACCCGGGTGGCAGGCAACGAATCCTAAGGGTGCCAGGTGGAAGGTGGCCGAATGCTTGACGAGATTTTCCATGCTGAACCGCATCCAGGCAGGGGGAAGTCCTGGGCACAGCCCAAATAGTGCCCAGCATCTTGGCACAGTAGCCAAATCCTCTACCTGCAGTGCTGGCAAGCCACATGGAAACCGGTTCAAGCCCTGGCTGCTCCAAATTCCCTCCGGCTCCTCCGTGCCTGTGGCCTGGGAAAGCAGTAGAGGATGGCCCAAAGCCTTGGTACCCCACACCCGCGTGAGATTCAGAGAACGTTCCAATCGGCTCAGCTTGGGCCGTTGCTGCCACGTGGGGAGAAAACCAACAGATGGAAGATCTTTTCTATCTCTTGCTCTCTGTAAACCTGATCTACTTTTCCACTAAAAATAAACAAATCTAAAAAGAAAAACTGTCTCAGGCCGACGGCAAAATGCCTTGATCTAGGCAGAACCCCATCACGTGATTGCACTAGGGAGGGGCCCCTGGGCGTAGACGCAGGGAGGGGCCAGGCCCTTCCTTAAAAGCAGCTTGGAACCCAAGCTACTCACAGAACTGAGCTTTCCTGGGAAGCAGCTGGAGGTCTCTGGAGGCAGAGACCGACTGGGAGGAGGTAAATGGCACCCGGGAACATTTATGTTGATTTCTCAAACTAGAACTCAAGGCCGTGCGGAGACAGAGGCGGGCGGATCCTGCATTCCTGGGGGCGCTCCCCAAAGACCACAACATCCAGGCATCTGCAGCTGGTGTTGCTGTGGGGCTGCCAGGGACCGCAATAGCTGGGCTTCCTCCTGAGGGCCCGCTCCCAGAAGCTGCATGGAAGCTCAGGGCCCGGGTCAGAAGGCAGGCAGGGAGCTCGGGGTTGGAGCGGGGCTCCCCATGCAGCTTCTGCCTCACCAACAGCCAGGGCTACAGGGCTAGGGAATTGGACACAAGCCCAGCAACGTATGCTGCTTTTGTTGCTTTGCTCTTGGTGCTGTGAATGCGCTATGGGGTCCCCCCCACCCGGTCACTAGCAAGGTGAACAGCCAAGGTTGGGGTGTACAAGGTCCGTCCCTAAATGGAGACCAGCGCTGCCCAGCAGAAACACGGGAAGCACGTGTGTAACTGCATGTGCTCCCTGGCAGGCATGTAGGTAAAACCAGTGAAGGTTCACAGTGGACTCCGTCCACGCCCACTTGAGCTTCAAACGCCATCGGGGCTGTTTGCTATGCTCTGCCTTCTTCAAGTGAGTGTTGGGAGATCTGAGCGCAGAAGCCCAGCTTGCCAAGCTTAGTGGGCCACTGCGTGGGAACCACCCTGGAGAGCCTTCTGTGAGGGGCTCAGCCACGCTGCATGAGCTTTAAGAAACATGAGAATGTGGGGGCCCTGTGCCGTGGTTATTTGTGCATAGTTTATGCTTTGCACACACAGGCCTGTGTCTGCCCTGTGAGGGGGCACAGTGCCCGACCCTTCTGCTTGTCCACTAACATGCCTTTTGCCCTAGATCGCCACCATGGCTTACGAGCAAGTACGAGCAGCAGGGACCTGCGGTGCCTGTTCAAACTTGGTGGAGGACCCGGTGTACCTCAAGTGCGGCTATCTGTGCTGCAGGCACTGCCTGGACACCCTGGAGAGGGAGCCTGGCGGGGACGGGTTCCTGTGTCCAGCCTGCCCTGTGGTCACCAAGCCGGATGAGGTCCAGGTGGCTCGCAAGCTGAGAGCGCTGGTAGAAGCTTTCAAGCCGCTACAGCGCCGCCTGCAGACAGTTCTGCGAATGGACCCCAGCCTGCGGGATTTCCAAGGTAAGGATGCACCGTCTACCCACACACAGCCAGCTCCGGAAAAGCAGTTTTGCCAGTGAGACGGCCAGGGGCCCAGTCCCTGTACCGGAAGTTGTCGTGCTTCCTGGACAAGGGGCATCTCAGCTCCTGAGACCTGGGAGGAGCCCATGGGAGGTTTAGGAAGACCCCGTCGAGGCCAATTCCCAGAGCTCGGCATGCCCTGTGGGAGCCACTGGCCGCTGTGACTGCTGGTCCACGTGCAAACAGTGTCCTGGGCACACGAGGACTGCTGAAGTCAGACACGCTGACCACGGCACAGGGCTCCCGTCCCTCTCCTGGGCGCTGACACTCAGGCTAGCTGGGCCCGGGATCTGCGATATGGTTCTCCAGCCTGAACGTCCCTGAAGGCAGATTTGGGGGTTGCAGTCCTGGGGTGTCCCGAGAATCCGGGTTTCTGACGTGAACCCCCCAGGGCTGCTGGTGATGCCGGGTAAAACGGTTTCTGAAAGTAGTCGCAGCATTTCCCTTCCCATTTTTACGCTTCAAGGCCTATCTTTACCAATCCAACACTTGAAAGCAGAGACAAGTCAAGTCCCGCCATGAATGAGAGAGAGGGTCTTGCAGCAGAGACATTCATTCTCTGGGTCCAATGTGACCAGTTAGGAGTGGGACGGAAGCCGGGTGGACTGGAGGAGACGGGAGTCCAGAAGGCACCTGCTGACCTGCTCCTTTCTTTCCACAGTGAACATGACCTTCGATGTGGACACGGCCAACAAGTACCTGTTCATTTCTGAGGACCTGAGGAGCGTGAGCTGTGTGTCTTCCCCTCAGACACGCAGGGAGTGTGCCGAGAGGTTCGACACCTTCATGTGCGTGCTGGGCTCCCCACGCTTCACCTCCGGCCGCCATTACTGGGAGGTGGACGTGGAGAGCTGCCAGGAGTGGGACGTGGGCATCTGCTTGGACTCCGTGAATCGGAAAGGGCCCGTGAGGCTGAGCTCAGAGTGCGGCTTCTGGACTGTGAGCCGGAGAGACCGTGAAGGATTCACCTCCAGCACCGAACCCCCGACCTCGCTCAAAGTGCATCAGCGCCCCCCGACCTCGGTCAACGTGCAGCCGTGCCCCCCGACCTCGCTCAACGTGCAGCCGTGCATACAGCGGGTGAGCATCTTCCTGCACATGAAAGCTGGGTGTGTCTCCTTCCGCAACACCACAGACGGAGAACACATCTTCACGTTCACCGAGCTCCCCACCCGCCGCACGCTGCGGCCCTTTTTTGCTCCTAGGAGAGCACCGGACGGCCAGCAGGGCCTCCTGAGCCTGCCTCCTGTGGCAGCTGGGGGCACTCGGCCCGCCCCAACCCCAGCCCCTCCAGCTCAGGACGAGTCAGCTTCTGTCCACAAGAGCCGCCGCCGCCACCGCCGCCGGAAATGGAAAAAGTGAACAGCAGACATAAGACCTGTCTCTTTCTGTAAATCTGCCTTTACAATAAAATGACTCCTTCCACAGCCTCCTGGCGCGTGAGAAAAACAGAGGGACAGGGGTTCTGTAAGCATTTCAGGCCAGGAATTCCAGGGGGAAGGAACCAGGCCCCAATTACTAGGGGCATGTATGCTTCAACATGCTGTGTTTCCCAGTGCTAGTATTGTGGTGCCAGAGGGCCTTGGTTTTCAATGCTAGCTCAAAATGGCTTTGGCGCTGCACTTCCCTCTGAGTGTGGTGTTGGCAGCATTTGAGAGCCGTACGCTCAATGGGCGTGCAGAGTGACAAAGCTGGGTTTCCTTGAGCTGCTTGTAAAGCTGATGGGGAGTGCTGGCTGAGAATGCCCTTCAACATGCTGTGCTTCCTAGAGCGGAAGCCACCCCCATAGGCCTTTGAAAAGCCTGGTCCCTGCCCTGGTTCACTCCCAGTCTCTGTCCGTGGCTGCCATCTGGCTGACCACATGTGACCCAGTGACCTTGAGTGCTAATTGCCATCTTGTTGATTAGCGACCTCTGCCCCTGAGCCCCACCTCTCCCCCTTTCTTTGTTAAATGGGGCAGGGATCCACAGCCACTGTGTCTGGCTTAGGTTGTCCTCTGGCCGAGCCCAGGAGATGGGCTGGCAGTGATGGGCAGCCAAATCTGCAACCACTTCAGTCAGTAGGGCCACAGTCCTAAAGCACTGTTGAATAAACTGAACAAATTTATTAAAAATGTAGGGAGCAAGGGTGAGTAGAAACTTTCTCTAACCTTGGCCATAGAAACCCTTAACTGTTCTTGCACAGCGCCAGTCCGCCTTGTGGGAGGGAAAAAAGACTGAGGTCCACCCTGCAGCTGCAGGTATTGCCCCCATTAGAGCGCCCAGGGTGATGGCAGGCATAGGTTGGGGGGCCCTGGGGAATGTCTCTTCCCAATATATAATTTTTGGAAGCAACATGGTCAAAATACAATGGACATCGCTGCTCCCATTCAGTACTTTCCCATAGGCGCAGGAGGTCCATCGGTTTGGCAAACCCATCTGGCGGGGGGCAGGAAATCACGTATTCTGTTATAATTTGATTACACAGGACCCAGTGGTGTGGCTGGGGCTAAAGTTCTCACGTTAAACTGGGCACCAGTGCTAATCCTGGCAGCTCCAATTCCCACCCAGCTCCCTGCCTGTGGTCCAGGAAAGCAGGCGAGGACAACCCAAAGCCTTGGGACCCTGCACCCGCTTGGGAAACCTGGGAGAGGTTCCTGGATCCTGACTTTGGATTGGTGCAGCACCTGCTGTTGCAGTCATTTGGGGAGTAAATCATCAGACAGAAGATCTTCCTCTCTGTATATTTGACTTTGTGATAAAAATAAAATCTTTAAAAAAAAAAAAAGTCATAGCCCTTCCACAGTGGCCTATATGCAGACAGATTCACGGATGGTGTAATTTGTCATTATTGAAGATGCTGTTATGCTGGGGTGCAGTGTACCCTTCATTCCATGTGCTGGGGCTCCATATCAAAAGGGGTAAGCTGGACCCCAGACACATGGCTAAGCCTCTGAGTGATGATGAAGGCAGCAAGCAGGGTGACAGGGAAGGCCTAGGAAGCAGAGGACTACTGCCATGGAACACATCTCTGCTGACTGCTTGATTCTGGCCTTGGGCCTCCAGGATATGAGCTCAGGGTTGGTGTCAGTTTAGCTACTGACCATGTGTCAGGGAGAACAGACAGCACCAGGAATCTACATTCCAATAACCACGTCTTATTCCAGTATAACCAAGTGTTTCCAACAATGGCTAGGCTATGTTATGGGATTAAGAAGGATTGTGTTCTCACACAAGGGTGGATGTTTAAACTCTGATGTCTTTACTGGTTGCAAATAGCCCTTGGATTAAGGGCGGGGACTGACCTAATTTTGATAGCCAGAAGGTTGTTAGGTCACTGGAGTCATGCCCATGGGAGTTGGCTATTCTGAGTTCAAATTCCTGGTGGACCCTGTGATTGTTCTGCACCTAGATGGTCAGCTTCCAAAAAGGCCAGGGCGCCCCGATCCTGAGCTGTCCCCTCTACATGGGAAGCAGAAACACACCTTTCCTCTCCCGAGAAGCCCCTCTTGGGTATTTCCATCAATCCACACCCGACCAACACCCAGAGGAGGCTCAGCTTGGCTATAAACTTATTTGGGCTGTTGTTTCCAGCCGTGCAGGTCGGGTGGCGTCAACGAGAAAACGTTAAGGGACGATAGATTTCTTTTTGAAAGGAGCTAGTAACAATTGTTAGGAATCGTCATAATTACTACAATAAAGGATTTTTAGAAAGATATATTTATTTTTATTGGAAAGGCGGATATACAGAGAGGAGGAGAGACAGAGAGGAAGATCTTCCATCCGATGATTCACTCCCCTAGCGGCCCAATGGCTTGAGTCAGGAGCCAGGAGCCTCTTCCCAGTCTCCCACATGGGTGCAGGACCCGAGGCTTTGGTCTGTCCTCGACTGCTTTCCCAGGTCACAAGTAGGGAGCTGGATGGTACACAGGGCCACCGGGATTAGAACCGGCGCCCATATGGGATCCCAGCACATGCAAGGCAAGGACTTTAACCACTAGGCTATCGCGCTGGGCCCAGAGGGATGGTAGACTTAAAAGAGCTGAGAAAACTGAGTGAGGCTTTGGTAGAAATGATGAGTTGGCCTCTAAACCATGTCTCTGGTGAACAACTTGTATTTCGTCCCGCAGGGCATTGACCTGGCACGTTGACAGAGCCATTTCCAGTATCTGAGTGCTAGCTCACACAGCTTTAGAGCAATGCAAGGATCCCTCGAGTGCGCGAGGCTGGCCATCATTTACCTGCGCATGCTCTTTCTGGGAGTGGAGGGAACGCGTGGCCTAATGCAGCCGACATCCGGGATTTTGCTGAAAACCTGTTGTGGACAAACATGTGAGCTGACCACAGCACTGCCTTTCCGGAGCTGTGTTCCAGACAGCAAAGGTGTCTGCCCCAGCGCCCAGGCCTCTGAGCAGCTCCTGGGTGAGCCCTGCTCTCCCACAAATTAGGAGTGTTCCTGGATACAGGTGTCAGAGATGATTGTTTTAAAAGATTTTTAAAATTTTTATTGGAAAGACAAAATTACAGAGAGAAGGAGAGACAAAGATCTCCCACTTGCTGCTTTGCTTCCCAAATGGTTACAAAAGCTGGAGCAGGTCTGTGGGAAGCCTGCAGCCAGGGGTTTCTTCCAGGCCTCTCACACGGGCACAGGCTTTGAGTCTTCAGGCTTTGCCAGGCCACGGGCAGGCAGCTGGGTGGGAAGTGGAGCAGCCAGGACACAAACCGATGCCCCCCGGGATGCCCGTGTTTGCAAGGGGAAGACAGCGGACTGAGCTAGCACAGCAGGCCTGGAAACATGTTCCCCCTGTGAGTAGAGCCTGCACTTTCACCCAGAGCATCCATCCTTGGGGCTTTCAAACTCAGTTAATGGTGGTTAAGAACCATGGGCGTCCGTGCCCGACGCAGCCTCCAGTCCAGACATGGACCTTCTCCGATAGAACCCTGCAAAGGAGAAGACAATGGGAAGCTGAAGACGAAGGGCAGCCGAGTTACTCCAGGCCGAGGCCTGCGCTTCGATTCTGTGACCATATCCTCACGTTCATCTCACTGGATTCCCATGCTCAGTCCTCAAAGCCAAGTCCTTGCTGGGGTCTGCCCCTGAGCCTGGCCGCCTCTCCAGGTGCCTGTGTGAAATGCATGGCCCAGAGTTAACAGATTAAGGGCAGAAATCTAACACAGCCTCTACTCTCGGTCTTGGGGTGTGACTAGATGGAGGGAGGCTGCTAGCAGGGGTCTCCATGACATGACGGTATCTCAGAAGGGCAGAGCAGGAAGGTATGGGTGAGCAAGCCCTGTCTTCCGGCTTCCTAGCCGGGCCTGACCAGGACCGAGTGTCCACTTCTATGTCAGTTGCACTTCTATGTCAGATCCGGGAGCCAGCATTAGGGCAAGGCAAGGGAAGCAATACGACACAGATGCGGACAGCTGCCAGCCAGCCCATGAGTACAGGCATATTGTCTGCCTGTCCCGAGGGCACAGGTGCCCCTTCCACTTCTGCAGTCTCGGAGACATGCTCTTCTAGCTTGAACAGAATGTCCCAAGTTGCCACAGTTCATGCGGGCTCGAATGCCTGCTCCTTGCCGGTGTGGTTCAGTGAGCCCCTTCCCACTGGGCACGCAGAAGTGGAGCCTGGAATCCGAGGCGGGGTGAGTGTTGCCACGATGTGGTTCCTTGTTGTGCCGTGAAAAGCCGCTGTCCGAGGTGCACTGTGCTTGCCCCGGGGGACTTCATGTTGAGTTCCTATCACAGCTGCCACACAACGCCAAGCACGCTGCCTCGGCCCAGTGTGCGAGGAGCTCGCAGCCAAGGTCTCCCTCCCCTCCCCTCCGGGTGCTTTCTGCTGCGGTTGGCAATGTCTTTCCACCCCGTGCGTGTCACTGCAGGGCCATTCGGTCTTCCTGAGCCAGTCTCTCCAGCAGGTAGTCAACGCAAAGGTACGGTTGGCACTTGCCAGCTCACTGCCCGCCCAGTGTGCACTGCCTCGTGCATCTGGTCCTCCCTTACGGCCCTCTAGACCAGCACCGGAAGCGATTGTAACACCAGGGGCTTTTACTCCCTCTCGTTACTGTTGGTTGCAAGTAAAATGGAGAGGACGAATACCACTTGTGTTTTCACATTACCTAAAAGTACCAACATGCCAGGCCTTGTGTGGTGTTGGGGTCCGTGCAGTGGATGTGGGGGACAGGAAGGGGTGAAGTGTATTGTTCCATTGCAGGCAGGGCCGCAAGGAACTTCCCGCTGTTTGGCAGGGCCCGCCCAGCAGACTTCTCTACAACCACCTGAATGCAGCTCCACCTTCTTTTGCATGGACACTGGACCACCCTGCGCAAGAATTCTAATCCATGCAGGCATTGTTTGCTGCTCTGGGGCTGGCCTTTCACTCAGTGTGAGCTTGGAGGTTAATGTCAATAATAATGTCTTGTAAAGGGCCTTCTGTTATTCCCACTGTCCTGGCTGTCCCCATTGACCTTATGCTAATCAAGGGCCCTGTGTTTAGGCTTTCATTCTTTCCTCATTCCTTAGGTTCCCCTTTTCTTTGTGATAGAAGATTGAGTTGTAGAATAAGAATTGTAGTAGGAACTTCTATTGTTTCTAGGTAAAACAAATGGCAGAATTATCCTTAGAAACACCCACTTGATCATGAGGTGAAGTGTCTGAGCCAGAGTTTGACTTTCTGTATAAATAAAGCGGACAGCTTTCGTGCATTGTCCATTATGATCATGAAATGCTAGTGGGCCATTTCTTTCCTTTCTTTCCTCCTCCACGCCCCCTTCTCGAGTTCCGAACTCAGCTGGAGCTTGGCAGCATGGTAACCTAGTGGTTAAATTCCTCACCTTAAATGCACCTTGACCCCATATGGGCACTGATTCTAATCCTGGTGGTCCTGTTTCCCATCCAGCTCCCCGCTTGTGGCCTGGAAAAGCAGTCAAGGACAGCCCAAGACTTTGGGACCCTGCACACGTGTAGGAGACACGGAAGAGTCTCATGGCCCCTGGCTTCGGATTGGCTCAGCTCTGGCTGTTGCAGTCACTTGGGGAATGAATCAGCGGATGGAAGATCTTCCTCTCTGCCTCTCCTCCTTCCTGTATATCTGCCTTTCCAATCAAAATAAAGTCTTTATAAAAAGTACCAACATGCTAGTAATGCATTATTGGGTGATGCTCTTAAGTCGATGATGCAAATTTATTTAGGGAAAGCCAAGGATAAAAATCTACGTATCAATTTATAATCTTAGGAATCGGCATTTAGGCTGGCGTTCCAGGCCGGGGTGCCCCCATGTTGCTTCTCGCTCACACCCTAGTCCAGCTGCCCTGGGAGACAGCTGAGGTGGCCCACGAGGACCAGCTCCTGCCACCCTCAGGGGAGGCCCAGACAGAACACCTACATCCTCTTTCAGCCCTCCCCCAGTCCGGACTGTTGTAGGCATTTTGACCAGTGTGAACTAGCTGATGGGAGCGCCCCAATAATGAAATAAAAAATTAAAATGTAAGAAATAAGCGTCTCCGAAACGCTAAAGACAGCAGTCAGGAATTCAACCCAGTCCCCCGTTCCTGGGTGACACCAACACGGCTGCCAGAGCCATCAGCGCAGCCTCCCGAGCCCTGTGATGGCCGAACACTCAAGTCCAGAGCCAGACTCTCCAAGACGGGCTGTGACACCTTAACGGAAGTCTAAACTGCTAGGCCCAATGCTATAGCAATAAATCCCTATCTAGTTCTAATTATATTGACATATCCTTAAACATGTGGACACGTGAGGGTACTTCAGAAATCTCATGGCCTATCAGCTCAGAAGGCAAATTCACTTTGGTAAAAAAATTATAAAATCATGTGTAATTCACTCTGAGCGTTGCATTTTTAAAACCCCAATCAGCTCAGGCTTGAATTCCGTTTGCCATGAACATTGAGAAGCACCGTCACATGGGAAGACCAGAAGAGCGGAAGCACACGTAGTCGTCCAGCACGCCCGCTGTCACCGCAAGCATGCCACACCCACCTCGCCACCATCTTCGTGTGGCAGGCCATTGGCAATGGCCACCCATGGAAGGTGTCAGGCCGTGCCAGCTACAGTCCTGGTTGAGGGAACTTGGCTGCGCGATCACAGCCGCCACAGACGATGCCAACCTACGTATGTGGCTGTGTTCTAGAGAACTTCAGACCCAGACAGAGCGAGGGGACCAAGTGGAGATGGGGAGTCGTAAGTTTCCAACTCCTGGGCAAGTGGCACAAGAGAAGGGGACTTCAACAGTTCATGGAAAATTCCAACTGAAAGGCAAGTTTGTGGGGCTGGTGCCTGCCCTGTCAGCATCCCATGTGGGCACCAGCTCCTGTCCTGGCTGCTCCACTTCCCAACCAGCTCCCTGTTTGTAGCTTGGGAAAGCAGCAGGGGATGGCCCAGAGCCTGGGGACCCTGCAACCGCATGGGAGACTCCCCGATTCAGATCATCTCAGCTCTGGGCTATTGGGAATCAGCCATGGAAGATCCTACTGTCTCCTCTATTTTTATTGGAGATACACATTTAAACAAATCTCCAGAAACATAGGAGAGGATTTTGCCTTTTGCCACAGCATTTGCAGACCTTCCAAGGCCCTGCATCTTTTGGGGATCAACACACCCCATGAGATGTTCCCACAAATTTGTAAGCAGAGCAGACTAGACAGAAAGTATCAGGGGCACATGTAGCTCAAGGGTTCGAAGTGTGCAGGTGGAAACCGAGGAGCGAGGGCATGGCACTTCCTTCGATGGGATCCTTACAGCCTTTTTGACCACACTAGCTAAACAAAAACTTCCAGGAAAGCAAATCATGTTCTCAATCCCATTGTTAGGCTGAAAAGCCCTTAAAACTGTTACACACCATGTATTCTCCACTGCATCTCAACATTTTATTGCTTCATACAGTCACTTGAACACCATCGTGGGAAAATACAGGAATTTCACAAAGTGGGCTACTGACTCCATCCAAGTCTCCAAGGAAGTGAAGATGGGACGCCACACCCCAACATCCCGCGTCCCAGTCCTGGCCTACAGCCCATCACACTCAGGTTACCCAGGGCACGCCTAGGAGGGCTGCCCGGCAGGCTCAGCAGCCCCACCCGAGGCCCTGAATGTCCTGGGCATTTGGGACGCCATCAGATGCCAGCTTTCATTCTGCTTTGCAGAACCAGGCTCCCACAAGTTGTAATCAAGGCCCCCGGCCAGGCCTTTCCTCTTGGCCCAGGACTGAGAGGTGAACTTGAGGTTGGGGTTTCTTTGTTTCACAGCCTGCACCATGTCCTGGGTTCCTGCGCTCACATTAGTCATGTCAAACCTGAGGAAACAGAATTGTGTCACTTCTGTCGTGGAAGGCCATGCCAGAGAATTTTGGAAACAATTAAAAGAAATTGTTTGGATGCGGAGAGCTTTCAATGCATACCTCTTTACAATAGGCACTGCTTATCAACTTTCTGGAGATCCCACAGAAGCGTGGATTTGAAGAGGTTCAGCCCCAGAATGTTCTTTAGCTCCATTCTGAAGGGAACTTCTTGAACTAGCCTTTTTCAACTGCTAGATTAGCAACTACCACCCCCCCCCCCGGGGTATCCTTCAGGGATGGACAACCTGCTCTGGCCTTGAAACCGTAAGTCAGTGGTTTCGCAAACATCTGGGATCATGGCCTCGCGACAGGTGCCACCAACATGTGACTTTTGTAGAATCCAGCACTCAGGGTCCAGGTCTCCCACGGAAATACATTTAGACGCTGGAGAACATAGCGCAGCTGTCTGGAGCCATGTTTGTTCACGTGCAGCCCTTCGCTCAACTCAAGGACAGGACTGCTGGTCACCCTGCCGTTTCCCTCTATATCTGAATGTCCTGGTGGAACACTGGTATGAAATACCAGTCTAGGAACCGGTGCAGTGGCATAGCATCTAAAGTTACTGACTGCTGTACTAGCATCCCACATGGACACCGGTTCAAGTCCTGGATGTTCCACTTCCCATCAGGAAAGCAGTGGAGGGTGTGCTGGGCCTTGGGAACCCACACCCATGTTGCAAGACCCAGAAGCAGCTCCTGGTTCCAGACTGGCCCAGCTCCAGTTGCTGAGGACATTTAGGGAGCAACTAGGCAGAAAGAGGATCTTTCTCTCTGTACTTCTATCACAAATAAATCAATCTTTAAAAAATACAAAATCTCTAACCACAAATGTGTTCCTTTCTCGTTAGTGTTAACAAGCATGTAGCTACCGGGACACCAAATCAAGAAAGGAGGAACTGCATTCTAGATTTTTTCCAGTCCTTTCTTGGACATGTATACAGTGTACAGATGAAACCTCTGATGGGCAGCTTGTGAGATGCCTTCCAGCAGCCAGTGTTGTGGCGCCATTGCCTGCAGAGCTGGCTTCGTGCCCACGTGGGTGCCGGTCTGAGCCCCAGCTGCTCCGCTTCTGACCTAGCTCCTTACCAACATGCTTGGGCAGTGGTAGAAGATGGTCCAAGCACTTGGGCTCTGCACCCACGTGGGATCCCGGATGGAGCCCCTGGCTTCCGGCTTCAGTCTGGCCCAGACCTATCTGCTGTGGCCGGCCACTGAGGGAATGAGCCAGCAGATGGAAGAATTCCCTGCCTCTGCTGTTCTCTGTCTGACTCCACCTTTCCAATCAAGATGTCAAAGACTCACAGGGCCACGACTGATCCTCCCGCTGGGGCAGCCCTGCCCTTGCTAAAACCCCTTTCTTGCATGTCAGTGGGACCTGTACTTTGCATCAAACCAATAGGCAACATGATGACATGTCACTGCCTTGACGAGTTTATAGAAAATTGCTCTCAGATGGCAAGAGCCTAGGACCACTTCAGTGCCCCTAAGCCGTCTCTACACAGAGCTCCTCAATCCAACAGCCCAAGGGAGGGTCGTGCTCACCACGACCTTAGGAGAGAGCCAGAAGCCCAGCTGAGCTGCCGCTCGACTCCTGCCTCCCACCCTGCGAGACCCCAGTTCGCACAACTGTGCTGCAGAGCAACTGTCAACTCACCCAGCAAGGAAGGGAATCTGTTTTGCAGCTTAAGAAAATCTAAGGGCCAGAGAATCCATGACCCAGTCAAAGCATACAGGAAAATGTAACAGCTTTTCTTGCTTAGATCAAGGATAACAAGTAGCACCAATTGTTACATTTTACTCACCATGAACTAGTTACTACGCTCTGTGGAGGTGAAGCAGCTTCTAAGCAGCAACACCAGAGTCATGGGACTTGAAAGAACTAGAAGCTCCACAGGGCGTACTGCCATCTCACACGCCCTCACCCATGTCAGCACAGCACTGTCCCCAGCCACAAGGACAGTGACATCCAGCTTACCCAAGGGTCTCAAGAACACAACTTGGTGGGCCCAAGATCAAGACCACGAGCAGCTGTGTGATTCCTGCATCACCCAACCTGTTGCCAAGCAGATTGAGTTTTTTCAGTTTTTTGTTAGTGACCAGCATAGAGGCCAAAAACTCGCAGCAGGCACCCGTTAGCTTACACTCGTCCAACCTGGAACCAGGAAACAACAGCTAAGACAGGATCCAGCCGTGGTGTAGAAACGACACACACACAGGAAGGATGTGAGCTCGACAGTGGCCAGAGGACATGGCACACGGCACAGCCGTGGCTCCCACGCCAGACCGCTCCACTCACGGCTGCCCTTTGTGGCCACTGTCGTATACTCACCCCCTCTTCAGGCTCCACAAGCTGCACGCAGCAGAGTGGTCTAGCGGGTACCCACCCGAGGTTCTCCAGGTTGCAGCCGGGGAACTCCAACGTGCCACACAGCATCACCATGCCCTCATCGCCTATGTTGTTGCTCCCAAGCTCCAGGCTCCGCAGGTTTGGGTTTCGGAGGATGGCTGTGCTGAGGTTGTAACAGGCATCGCTGTTGAAGAAGCAACCGGACAGCCTGCACAGGGGAGGTGTGTGTGTGAGCTTTACACCATGAAGGGCTGGGAGCTTGGTCCACCTCATGGCATTCCATGAAGCAGGAACCCACGAATGGTACCAGCATTCGTATCAGTAGGTCACAGCTCCTAACTCAGATTAACACAGCGGTGACCCCACAGCTTCCATCACCCAAATGTTACCAACAAGGAAACAAGAGCCAAAACACCTCAGGTGTTTCTCATTGAAGGGTATAGAAGACTGGGTATCACATTTCCAACCCGCCTTTTTTGACACTGAGCTTGCGTTGGAAAGAATTCTAGACAACCTCCACTAATACCCTATCTTCTAGTACCAACGTGCAAAGCCAATGTTACTGAAAAAGCTGAACATTTTTTAGGAACAGAAAGGTTTATACCACATGGTTCTTTCACTCAGAACCGAAGTCCTTATAACTGCCTGTGGTCTGCCACAGCCATCACTGCCCAGCTGCTGTCCACGGACCAACACTGGTGTTCACACATCAACACTCCGTGCTGGGCGCTCAGCCCTTAACGTCCAACCCCAGTGGCCTGGGCCATCCAGCCCGAGGGTCCCCTCGTCAATGCAGCTCACATTCACCAATCCGGCTCAGAAACAGCCGCTGTCCTAGGTTTGCATGACATCTTTGATGTCTGGTAGAGCAAGCAACATTTTCTGTGAGGACCATGTAACAAGCATCTTGGGGTTCGTGGGGCCTGGGGCATCTGTTCACACCTTTGTCATAGTAAGTCAAAAGCACCTGTAAGCACATTCAACAGTGACTGTGTTTCAAATGCCGTATCTACAAAGACAAGCCAACAACTGCATTTGGCCCTGGCTGGTATAGCTTGCTGAGCCCCAGCCTAACTCATCATCACCTCTTTGGATCCTAAGTAGCGTTCATCTTCCACAGCGTCACAGCAACACCCATCCAGACACTGGCACTCATTTCGTTCACTGCTGCAAACCAGGACCCTAGAAGGGTGCCCACCAATCACCACTGAGGTAGATTCTTGAAAAGTCCACGCCCATTCTTTCATAAGTTACAAAGCGCACAATGAGCCAGCCACACCTGTGGTGCCACAGCACACATGTATCTTCAAACTTAGAGGGAAAGTACACGTGGCCAACAATGCCAAGGTTTAAATGGGAGCCAGTAGGGGACCTAGGGCATAAGCTAAAAGCCGAGAAGAGAAGCAGGGCCTAGGGCAGGTACCGGAAAAGTACCCCTGGGAGCTTCCATGTTGCTGCTAACCCGCCTCCTCCCGTATGGAGTGAAATCCTAACTGTATATCCAAGATACATTGGCAATACAAAGACACCACAATGCTACTGGAATCTCCTCACCATCTGTGACAAATGTTACAGGCAAGCTTGTTGTACGGCATGGAGGAGGGGCCCTGCGCCTTGGCGTGCAGGAACACCTGGAGGCCACGGCCTTGTGACCAGGGCAAGCCTCCCGGGGCATCAAGGCACGCGCCCAGGAAGGGTCTGCAGGCACTCATAACAGATAGGGAAACGTGGGCTTCAGTTCTGTCACTGAGACTGGCGCATTTTCACTGTGTTGTGTCACCTTTCTGAAGCACCCCTCTTGGCCAACCTGGACCCACTCGGGAGACATCTCCCTGCTGCAACAAGTGCTGCCAAACACAAACCTGTGTATTGCCATCCATCCTGCAAGCTCTCCCCTCCTGTCCCACCCTGAGAGCCTGGTCAGGGCTGAATTCGAGGCGCCCTTCTGCAGGCTGGGCCTCGACCAGACACCCCTCCTGCTGCTATGAGGCTCAGCATCGGACTTTGTGCCCTCTGCCCTTCCGGTCTTCCCAACACACTTGCTCTGTTTACACCCAGCCTGACCCGCTGACACCCACGAGCCCCGTCTGTCGTCCACGCCTCACGCGGGAGGAAGTGGACATCCGTGGACGCCCAGGCGGACTTACTCCAGCTCCCGGATCGTGCATGTCGGAAGCACCAGAGGCATCAACAGGATCAGCACGCCAGTGTTCTGCAGGAAGTTCACGCTCAGGTCTAGGTGTTTCAGAGTTTTGTTGAGCAACAGGACGGTCGCCAGGGAGTTGCAGCACGCTTCCGTCAGACAGCAGAAGAGCAACCTGCGTGGGGACACCACCAGGGCCAGTCAGCGACAGCGGGACAGCTGACGAGGCTGGCTCCCCGGGCCACCCATCCAGGACATACGGAGGCCTCCACGCCTCCTGCAGCCACAGCCCTGCGTCTCCCCGCAGGCGGCAAGTGGTCAGAGCACCCGTGGCAGTGCAGAGTGAGACATAACATGTGTGTCCGTGACCATGGCGGGAGAAGAACCAAGTTGCCACTATCACTCATTCTGTAAACGTGGCCTTTGTTTTGAAGCTACAGCATATCTACTTTGATTTAATCCTAAGATTCCTTTCAGGGTAAAAATTCTACTGTCTTAGAAGTTACTTTGCTGCTTATAAGAACAAAGCAGAACCACCATCAGTTCCCATAGTGAGGTGGCCACGAGTGCATAAGGCAACTCATGAAGAATTTTAAAACAGCAAAGACAGTTTGCTGGGCCCCTCTGGGTGTGAGGCTGCAAGCCCGCCGTGTGCCACCCACGTGGCCATTTCTATTGTCTTAATCTATTGCTTGAAAGCTTAGCTCACTTCTCTATCTCCAGCTCCTCTTTTCCACATATATGTATGTGAAATTACCCCAGGGGATTCCATCGCCACACGCGCATTGGGCCAGAACAGGGACCAGCCGAGGGCGGCTAGCAGACACACCCAGATCCCTGGCCCGTATTAACTGCCAACAATACATTCCACCTTCAGGATGACTGAAGACTGCAAAGATTGTGACTTGTACAAGTGATCAAGTTCAAGTTTTATCGCACACGGCACTCTATGTCCACGCATTCAACCAACCACGGATCAGGAAGGCTAGCATAAAAACCTACGCAGACCCCTTCCTTGTCCTGGTTCTTGGACACGGCAGGACTGCCTCAGCACCTTCACTTTGGAAGAGTAATCCAGAGATCAGGAGGCAGGATGCACGTAGGCCACACAGACACGAGACCGCCACTGGAAATCAGACAGCAGGGCATCTGGGGTCCTGGCACCCCAACCTTCAGATAGGACTATACTCACGAAGCTGCCTTCCTCACAGCCACACATGGTCACCGGCGTCACCGCAGCCGTTTGCTTGCTCCATCAGCAGAGTGGAGGTGTTACTGCAGAGACCACGGCGTGTAGCCAGCGACACCTGCTGTGTCTGCTGGCCAGCTCTCCAGCGGAGAGCAGCCGCTGCTGGGCCGCTCGTGGGCACGGCTTGTCCTCCCCACACCGTCTGTTCTAGCTCCCTGGCCGCAAGCACCTCGAACGAGGCATCTTGACAACAGTCTTACAACATTATACAGCTATTCAACAAACAGTTGAATACAGTAGCTAGCATTTACAACTATGCATCATGTTGACTATCTTCGTGTATATTTGTGATGTCTTCGATGATCTCAGCAGGGTGTTAGAGTACCTGGTTTATAATGTCCTTGAAGTGATGTGCCAACCATACAAAATAGCGCAATTCTAGATTGCTGGCAGGGAAGGAGGCGGCCACGGTCAGTCCGTGCCCTTCTTGCTTATCATTAACATGTGTTCAACACAGTCAACAGGTTTGCTCACTTGGGACCCTAGTGATACGAGCTAGTATCCTTTGTAGAGTAACTTATGTTTGATTTTTTGAAGTTACATAAAAAGGCAAAAAAAAAAAAAAACTAAAGAAATTCCCTATTTTTATAAAAAGCTATTCCAGATCGACAGGTATGAACTGATAGGACAATAATATTTTTCCACCTATCAGATTTAGCCAAAAATCTGAATTTTTTTTACAGATATTTTTCTGGGCTTCTTGCAGTTTCTTTCACTGCTGTCAGATTTGGAAATTCCTTGCATAGTTCAACATGGAGAAAAATCTGTCTCTTTACTGTATCTGGATTACTGAATATACAGGTATGAATTATAAAACTTTGCATGCCATAGAATCAAGATGGCGGAATAGGGTAAGGACACGTTTAAAAAAGAAATATTAGTGTGAAACAGAGAGGACACATTCCAAGAAATAGGAGAGGACAGAATAACAGCAAAGGGGCGCCTGGAGACTGAGACACAGGAAAGCAGCAGACACAACGGTATTGCAGTGACTGACACCCCAGCAACATTCAGTGAGTGGTGATCCGAATTGCACCTGCAGCTGAACTCCAGCAGCAACCAGGTGGGAAGGGACATTCACTGGGAGCTCAGGAGGTGAACCCAGAAAAGGACCTGCCTGTCCTGCTGGTCTGTTTGATTTGACCAAGAGCAGAGACAGAGCAGCAGATCTTAGACTGGCAGTGCAGGAACAGGGAGGATTTCACAGCCCAGGCCACCCTCAAGAGCCAAACTGGGCACCAAGTTGTTTAAGGAGGCAAGGCCATGGACAGTACTGTGCATGCAAGGCTGGGAGTGAACTCATTTCTGGCTCAGTGGACTGCAGCTACATGGCATCCTACAGGTTCCTCCCAAGACGGGTCCAGGTAGCCCTTAGACTGCTGGCCAGAGCAGTGGCACATCGGGCGCCATTTGGTACACCGTGGCAAAGGCTTTAAGACTGCAGGGACAACAGTGAGCTGCGCACGCACGGAGCTCGGCGAAAACTCATTGAGTTCAGTGCATTGCACTGGTCCACGGGAAGATACCCACTATGGCATCATACGGGTCAAAATAGGTCTATGTGGCCCTCAGACCTAACGGCCAACAGGTTCTGGCAAGATCAGCACCACCAACACCCTAGCTATATAGGACACCTGGTGTCTCCCTAATCCTGGGACCTGCTCCAACCCCAAGTGGGAGAAAGGTTGTACAGACAATGGTGCAGCCTCAGCATGGTGTCACAGAAGGTGGATGTTGGTGAGCCAGGAGCTGGGACTATGGAGACCATGATGGGAATCTAACATAAGAACCCAGGCCCGGAACTCGCTGGAGGGAGTGGCACAAGTGACCACAAACAAAGAGCCGTGTACCAACTGCAATAAGTAAAATCAAACTGTAGACCTGAGAGTGACAGAGCTTAGAAACCTGCCCCAAGGAGGAGACTGAAGTATCAACAGCAACAAGTGTGTAAAGCAGGCATTCAAGGAATTTAAGGAATATGTCACACTGGAGATGAATCCAATGAAAGCTGATATACCAGAAATGAAGAACACAGTGGAGCAAATTAAAAGTACAATGGAGAAACTCCAAAATAGAATGAAAGAAGCAGAAAAAAGAATCTCAAAATTAAAAGATATTTTTCTCACCAGGAGGCAACAAAGCTGGAAGCAGAGCTGGGTCAAGCTCAAAGTATTGAAAGACACTATTAAAAGGCCAAATGTAAGAGTTACGGGAGTCCCAGAAGGTGCAAAAAGGGAAACTGAGATTAAAGACGTATTCAATGAAACAAGGGGAAATTTCCCTAATCTGGAGAAAGAATTGGGAAACAACATCCAGGAGGGGCACAGAACTCCCAACAGGCTTGACTAAAAGCCATCTTCACCAAGACACATGATCATCAAGCTCTCTTCAATTGAACATAAGGAAAAGATCCTTCAATGTGCACGTGAAAAAAAAAAAATCAACTGACATATAAAGGAATGCCAATTAAACTCACAGGAGACCTCTCAGAGGAAGCACTACAGGCCAGAGAATGGAGCAGCATAATCCAGATTTTAAAAGCAAAAAAATTGTCAGCCCAGGATAACTTACCCAGCAAAGTTTTGTCTTTGAAAACGAAATAAAATTCTTCCACGCTAAAGAAAAGTTAAAAGATTATGCCTCCTCCAAACCTGCCCTATAAATGATACTTCAAGATGTTCTCTTGAAAGAGGAATAGTGCCCGCCAAAACCAAAGGCAAACGCGAAGAACATCCCAGTAAAACAGAAGACTAAATCAATAAACCCATTGCTAAAATGGCAGTATGAAATTACTGCCCATTCATATCAACCCTGAATGGAAACGTCTTAAACTCAAATGTCAGACTAGTAGGCTGGATTAAAAAACAAAGCCCATCTATTTGATGCCGACAGGAGACACATTTCACCAACAAAGATCAACGGAATCTAGCTCATGGATTTTGATTTTTTGTTAGTTCCACCTTTTCACAGTTTATGAAATTCCTCACTGACTCATGGATCACACAGCAGCAGCATTTTCTTCAAGAAGATTCTCATTTCCTTGTTCATTTCTTCAGCAACACATTCATCACTCAGTAGCATGCTATTTAACTTCATGATGTTAATTTTTTTCTTCCTGTTGTTGATTTTGTATTGTGGCTTTTCATTTAAGGGGATGTACAGTAGCTATGTAATGGAGACTCTCATATCCAGATGTGAGGATACAATGCAGTATGCATCTCTATTTCCAGACCAAAGATGGACTCCCAGTGAAACTGTTCACTAGATCTGGACAGCAGGACGCTGGACTCTCTGCCATTGTCCATGCCCGCAGTGATGGACATATGCCTGTGTATGAAGATCTATACTACAGTAATGATACAGGGGAACTCAGTGAGGGTGGGATGCAATTGGGGAGGAGATAAGGGAAATCCCAGGGCCTATGCAACTGCATCATAAAATGATCATTTAAAAGTATAATTTTACGAGTTTGCATGCTAAACTTCTAGGATGATAATAAGTGTGCTGAAGTCAATCCCTGGTGACGCTCACCGCACTGTATTCCAGAGAGCTAGGGAACACACACTTACGATGGGCAAGTTTCACGGCTGGGTCTAACATCTGGGAGGATGTCGGCTGGGTGTGCGCACGAGACGAGACGTGCCGATCTGCAGTTCGAAGACTTCACCATCGGCACTGTTCTACCACCTGCTCGGCTACTAGGAACTCAGCCCGCACTGCCAATCCCTTAAGCGATGCACACAGGGTCGGTACATCCTAGACCGAGATTCTGTCCGCCATTACGTAACACAGTATCGCATCATGCTAAGAAGGATTTGCGATACCCCCGTGAGATCAAACACATGCAATTTTCCATAGGAAAAATGAATGAACTAAGTTTAGATTGTTATGTTTGGGAATCCCACAAATTCCGGAAGGGAAAAAAAAAAATTCTACCTTATTCTTCTGTCCGTTCGTCATTTACATATGAATACGGGGTACCTGTCCTTGAAACGCGGTGTTACGCCCCTTGCTCTGCCTTGCTGACCACTCTTTCTGTCCAGGCCTTCCTGTTGCCCTCATCTTGCTGTCTTGGGCTGTGTTTTTCACCCCCTGACCTGGGCAAACACCTGCTTTCCTAGAAACTTCCCTGGAGCAGTTTCTCTTTCACAGAAGAGCAACGCGAGGACAGGCACAGGAGGACTGAAAGCATCAAGTGCCTTCTCTCGTCGAGCCTGTTGGTGTAGCCTAGACCTACTGCTGCGTGGACGCCGCTGCAACGCCCTCTCCACAGCGGTGACCCCACACTCCACGTCCTGCAAAGCAGGCTGACCGCCCCTCAGCCCACGCTTGCTGCCGCGTTGCTGTGTGCTCATTAGCAGTGCTTGACCTCACCCTATCTGCCCAATCCCAAACACCAGCAGGCTGTCACACGCTTGACCAAGCCGACTTACACCAGGGACTCGAGGCAACAACCTGGTTGCAGCAAGGCATCACACAGTATCTTCACGCCCTCATCCTTTAGCGGGTTGTTGGACAGGATCAGCTTTTTCAGGTTCCTGCTGTTGACCAGGAGCGAGGCAACCTCACCACACATGTTGGCCTTTATATCGCATCTCATCAGGCTGCAGGGAGAACAGAGATGAAGTGGGGCCTCCGATTCCCTATGCCATTGCTCGACAAGGCGAGATCGCTGGGCTACCTACCCCGGAACCACGAAGCAGCTAGATCCCTCTGCTTCTAGCTTGGCCCTACGCCAGGGCCCCAAACCCATTCCCCCGTGAGTGGGCAGTTCCCGACCCTTCCATCTTCACTTCCAGCATGACGTGTCAGCTGCCAGTCACGTGCCAAGCAGCTCACTGGATCCTGGCACACATGTGTACCAGCCTCACCAAGACAGTCAGCCGTCGCAGGCGCAGTAGCTGCTGCTCTCTCCCCCACCGCGTCCCAGATGCTCTGCCTGTGCTGGCTTCTATCAGTCCTGCTACTTAACCCACTTCCTATTCACTGTTCACCCCGTGCCATGCTCCCCCTCTCCTCTCTCCACACCCTGCCGCCTTCTTCAAGTCTTTTCATCCTCACCTCTGCTTAATGGTCCTGCCCACTTCAAATTCATTCCCATAAAGGGGACATGGTCAAGGATTATTCAACTACCAAGTGTTGCATTCTGCTAGGTGTCTTAGGAAACAGCAAACTCAGAAAATGGGATGCAATTCTATTGGGCATCAGTAAGACGGATTACACCTGCTCCTGGCAGGTCGCCGGGAGTGTCAATGAGTCAAGGAGAACCACACAATGGAAAGCTGTACTCTGCACTGTCACGGAATCTGGTTAGAGAAACTCTTTCTAGTAAGGTGGCATTTGAGCAAAATCCCACAAGATACTGTGGATTGAATGCCTAGTTATCTGTAAATTTTTTTAAAAGATTTTTTTTAAATTGGGAAGGCAGATTTACAAAGAGGGAGAGAAAAAAAGGCCGTCCACCCACTGATTCATTCCCCAGAGCTGCGCCGATCCGCAGCCAGGAGCTCCTCCAGGTCTCCCACGGGTGCAGGGTTCCAAAGCTTTGGGCTGTCCTCGACTGATTTCCCAGGCCACAAGCAGGGAGCTGGCTGGGAAGTGGGACTGCAGAAGGAACTTGCACTTACATGGGATCCCAGCGATTGCAAGACAAGGATTTAGCCACTAGGCTACCCCACTGAGTCCTATTTATCTGTAAATTTCATGAAATCTATTCAGTTAACAAAAATTATTGTTAAAATGTAGGGACTGATGTGATATCTCAACCAGCTAATCCTCTGTTGCTAGCACCAGCCTCCCATCTGTGCAGCAGTTCAAGTCCCAGCTGCTCCCTGCTGACGACCCAAGAAAGCAGTGGAGGATGGCCCAAAGCCTTGGGATCCTGCACCCACACAGGAGACCCACAAAAGGCTCCTGGTTTCAGATCGGCTCAGCTCAACTGCTGCGATCATTTGGGGAGTGAACCAGTGGATGGAAGATCTGTCTCTCCTCTCCACAAATTTGATATACATTTCCAATAAAAATTAATAAATCTTTAAAAAAAAAAAAAAAAGAACCCCTAGAGTGTGTGGCTCCATTTTTTTCGAAAATTTTTAAACATTTATTTGCAGTGCCCTCAGCACACTAGCTCCCCTGTGACCATGTGTGACTTCAGACACAGCCCTAAATGTCACTGCGCAGACTAAGCTGCCCCAGGTTGAGAATGGTTACTGGAACATTCCTAAGTCTTTCTGCATTTTTTAATCACACACTAACGATGTTTCTTCAGGTTGGACCAAGGGACTTTGGATTTGCAACTTACAGAAAGACCCAGCCACTTAAGCAATAGGAGTCATGAGAGTGAAAAGCCAGGGACAGAAGGGCCAGCATGGAGGTGGATGGCAGCGTCGCCCCAAACGTACCCACAGTCCTCCCCAGGGGCCCAGCCGAGCCCCGACTCACCGCAAGTGGCGCACGGCGCACGCAGGACTCGCCAGCGCCTCCCGCAGAATGGCAAATATCTGGGACGTGAGCTGCATCCCGTTGAGGCTCAGAAACGTCAGGTTTTGGAGAGCAACGATGACCTTGAACAAGTCGTCCAAATCAGAACCCACCGTGACATGGGACAACCTACAGCAAGCCAAGCTTCCGGTCAGCGTCTCACAGTGCAAGCAGGAAGATTGGATTTGGTCAGCTCACGGCATTCTAGAACACTCTGCACTTCCCTTACCAGCCTGTGCTCATGCAACTCATAGCAAGGTATTTCTGTTCAAAACCCCTCACACCTTACTCCGTGAAAACCCGTCCCCGACTCTGGCTTACGACGCCCCGCATCCTGCCACAGACACCTCGGAATGGTTTCCTCGGTCCCTCCCTCGGCAAGCGCACCAGGCTTTCCCATAAGCCGCCGTCCCAGGAGAGCCTGTGACCAGCCACAGAGTCACCTCCTCTCTTTACCACATCCCGACGGAAGTCCAGTCTCACCTCCTCCTGGGGCACATCCCCCAATCACTTTGATCACTGGGACTCGTCAGCATTGCATATTGATCGCCCCCACCAGGAAAGCCAGAGGAGACTGCTGTTGCCCCTGGCCGGAAGAGGGCAGAACACCTACCTGATGGTATGGAGCCGGCAGTTACGGTGCATCAGGGCCTTACACAGGATCCGCCCAGAGGTGGTGTTGAACTCACTGTTGCAGATCTCCAGGTCCTGAAAGTTCTCGTTGGTGTGGAACAAAGAGCAGATATCTCTCCAGTAGGCAAGGCTCCTTATCTGGCTACGCAAACAAGGAATCTGGCAGTAGCATCCATCCAACGCCCATTTACACCTGCTCAAAGCCCCTGCCAGTGTATTCACACCCAAGGCCAGGCAGTTACACCTGCTCAGAACCACCCCCCCCCCGCCAGTGCATTCACACCCAAGGCCAGGCAGTTACACCTGCTCAGAACCCACCCCCCCCACCAGGGTATTCATACCTAAGGCCAGCAGGAAGAACTAAAGTGTGACTAACCAAAAAAATCAACACCCAGACTGCGAAAACAGGGGATCACTCCGGGATCACCAAGACGCGACAGACTGGGGGCAGTGCCTTGGAACGCGAACGAGAAAATGAGGCAGACACACAGAATAGCTGCTGCTGTGGTGTGCCACGGCAAACGCCAGGAAGGACACCATCAGGGTCACTGCAGCTGATCCGTACAACACAGAAGGTCGGTTCTCAGCCGGGCGACTTAGTCACAAGCGATCGCGGACACTGTCAAACACGCCCCCACACCCAAGACAGTGCCCCGCTACCCAACCTCCACAATGCCGAGGCAGGCCCAGGAAACCCGAGATCAAACGCAAGCGTTGAGACTGCCCAGCCACCGGGTCAACAAGAGCCCAGCCGGATGTCCGACAGCCCCTCCTAGGAAACTAAGCAAGGTGGAGTGTTTTCGCCGAGACTCACCACGTCGTGAGCCTCACGTGGGGGTCCTGGTGTTTAAAGAGATCCAGAAGGCTCAGCTTGAGCTTGCACAGCGCCTGGCTGCGCGGGAGGCAATAGGCCGACACCATGAGGTCCCTGTTGGACTGTATGTAGACGTTGACCTTCGGGAAGAAGTCCATGAGCTGCCTCACAAACGCCTCCTCCTGGTTCTCAAAGAGGCAGTAGAACAAGGGCATGTGGAAGTCTAAGGCATGGCCCTGCTGCCCCCAGGCCTGCAGCCACTGCACGAAGTGCTGCCGCAGGGGCGCGTCCAGCAGCTGGCAGCCCACGCAGGCCTCGAGGATCTGTCTCCTCTTCTCATTGAGCAGCCCGAAGATCCACGTGACCACAGGGCTGAAGTCCGAGTACACTTCCCTCTTCTCTTCCGGCTTGTTTCTGAGCCGGGGGATCTGGTAGTGGACCAGGACCATCATGTACGCGATGGCCGCACAGAACTCCTGCATCTTGAGGTGGATGAAAGTGTAGTGACCCTTCAGGCTGCTGCTGGGCAGCAGGAGCCTGACGGTCTCCAAAATGGACACGTCGTCCTGGCTCAGACCCACGCTCCGGAAGTCCTCGTCTTGGAAACTCAGGGTGTTGTGAAGCAGCCCTTCCACGGCCAGCGCGCAGAGACGCTCCAGGAGGGCCAGGCGGCGTGGGCCGTCAGCGCGGCTCACATTTGAGCTCAGCACGGCGGCCAGGAAGTGGGTGAACACGTCGGCACGAGTTTGGTAGCAAGAGCTGATGTCCGCCTGGTCGATGCGCCTGCCCACAGCGACGCAGAGCATCCAGCACAGCACAGGGGCCCGGCACAGGCTCGTCAGCACCGCATTCTCACTCACGAGTTTGCAGGCCGTGCTTATCCTCCGCTGGTTCTTGTAGAACAAGGTGAAGTAACGCTCCCTCTTGTCATCGCCGAACTGCATGGTCAGGAAGCAGTCGGAGTCTTTCATCAGGGCCCTCATGGTGCCTCTCCCCCTGCACCTCAGGGTGATCAGGAACCAGCAGCCTGGTACCAGCCTCCGCTGCAGCAGACTGGCCAGCAGGACGGACATGGACACCTGCTCTCTGGTGTCGCTGCACAAGGCGGATTCCTCCACATCCAAGGGCCAGTTTATGTTGTCCAAATCCTCCAGGATAAAAACGAGCCTCTTGGGTTCCGACAGGATGTCGGCGATGGGCGCCATGCCCCCGGGCCAGTCTTTGGAGATGAGGTCCACCAGGCTGCAGTGCGGGATCTGGTTGACCTCCTGGGAGGTGATGTAGACCACGTGGGAGATGTCCTGCCACACTTCCTCACTGACCCACGAGGCCAGCACGGCGTTCAACATCATGGTCTTCCCGACCGCGTTGTCTCCCAACACGAACATGTTCATGTTCTCTTCATAATAGCCGTTTTCAAGAGTAAAAGTTCGACCCAGGACGTATAAATGCTGGATTACCACTTCCATGGCAAAATTGTCATGCGACGATCCGAAGTAAGCTATCTCCCACTGGCTCAGGACCTTTCTGTGTATGAGGGCTTTGTTCATCTCTCTGTGACCTAAGCCAATGAAGGGAGGAGGAACACAGAAGGCAAGTCAAACTTCAAAATGTAAAAAACAGCTTCCCGCAACATTTCTGCTGATGCCTACTCGTCACAAGCACGCAGGAACAAGGACAGAGCTGGTCTGGTATTGTGGCATAATGGGCTAAGCCACTGTCGGCAGACCAAATCGGGCTTGTCCCATATGGGCACAGTTTGTGTCCCGACTGATCCATTTCCAAGCCAGGTCCCTGTTGATGGCCTGGAAAAGCAGCGGAGGACGGTCCAAGAGTTGTGGCCCTGCCGCTCACATGGGAGACCTGGGTGAAGCTCTGGGCTTCGGGCCCAGGCCCAGCCACTGCAGCCATCTGGGAGTGAATCAGTGGGTCAATCATCTGTCTCCTTCTCTGTAACTCTGACTTTCAAGTAGATCTTCAATAAACGAACAAGGAGAGTGTATCTCATCGCTTACATAAAACACGGCTCAAGTCACCCATCCATCCAACGGGCTCTGAAGCCGTCGTGTTCAAACTTGCTCATCTGGACTCCAAGAAGAGTTTCTTTTTCCTTTGGTGACTTTATAGCACTTATTTATAAGCAGATTCAAACATCACAGTTACAGGAGGGACACAGACCTTGTATCTGCTGCTTTACTCCTCAGATAAGTGATGCCCAGCTCCAGGCCAGGCCAAAGCCAAGACGTCTTCCAGGTTTCTCACGTGGCGGGCAGGGGCCTGGGCACTTGGGCCATCTTCTGTTGCTTTCTTCAGACCATTGGCAGGGAGCTGGATCTCAAGTGGGATGGCCAGGACACCAACCAGTGCCCATATGGGTTGCTGGCATCACACATGACACCACAGCACCCACCTCACTCAGAGCATGTCACACAGCCATCAGTTATAACACTACATCTTGTGTGTGTATCATATGTTGCATATAGATGTATATATATTATACAAATCATACATGTAACACACACATAGATATTAGTTTGGGGTAATGCTCGGGTCCAGGGCCTGTTCCTGATACACATTAACTTAAACAATATGTTCATCTTAATATTTTTTAGGTAAGTTTTAAATAGGATCTGGGTCTGCTAAAAAGCTAAATAAAAAGTAACAGGCAAAAGGGACGCGCTGTGAACAATCCCACGATTGTCAACACACGGAGTGCACTTCCCGGCATGCTTTGCATATTGCGCCACAGCCTGTCAGGGACACGCTTTCCCTCTTAGTTCCTCACTTCCACATCATGTCTTCATTCCTGACCACGTAACGAGTTACCCTAGGGTCAGTGTGGTCAGTGTGATCAGTGAGGCGACTTCGCTTTTTCTTTTAATTGTAGTGGGGTTTACATCTGAGATTGTGTAAGGCTTCATTCCCACTGCAACGTGAAAACCTGACAGGAAAACACGTGGATAAAACGCTTGTGTCCGTCACAGAACTGCAGATGGAAAAATTAAGCTGCAAAACTGGGCGTGGAGGGTGGGCTTCCCTGGATGAGGCAGCCCTTGGGGTAGGGGCAGTGGAGGAGGCTGCTTGCCCAGGAGAGCATGTCGGAACACAGCCCCTGGACAGCCGTTCCCGGGACGGGCGGCAGGTGGAAGGCGGCCTTCGTCTCAGACTGGTCAAATGCCACGCCATACCGCTCCCAGCGCTGCAGCCCCGGCCGAGCCCACCGCCGTAGCCTCACCAGCCCAACAGAGGGAAGCACGGCTTGCAGGGAGAAGCATCAACGATTTCTCTCCCTTTGTAAATCCAACACCTGGCATACAAGGAAACATGTTTCAAGAAGTACACATCCAAGATTCATAATTGAGGAAACAACCCAGACTCCCATATCGCCCCATGTCAGAGAAGGATTTAGGATTAATTACATCTTATAAGGGAACTCTATAGCTAAAATATACAGTCTTAGAAATAAATAATCCACAGCACAGGGCAAAAGAAAGGTTCAGGACGTGCCAGTGTGGTGGGCACACTCTTCAACAGGAACAAGAAGGACCAACTGTGAGACTGACCGGACCCATGCAACAGGCACAGAAAGTACACCAAAGTACAAGACGTCAGGTGCCAAGGGGAAAGGCCAGCGTGCCAGGACACATGACCGTCACCGGGAGGAGAGACAGGTGCTGGGAGGTGAGCCCACGTCACAGGGAGGAGAGACAGGTGCTGGGAGGCGCCCCAGGCCCCCGCCCGTCACAGGCGCCGTGGAGGCTGTGCAGCTGGAGGGTACTTTATGCTGCTGTTGGGAAAGCAATCTGCTTCAGCTAGTGTGGAAAACGGTACAAAGGCTTGTTTAAAAAGAATTAGGATCAACACCATCATAGCATTCCACAATCCCAAGGATCTGTATTGATCCAAAATGCATTCTCCCATCCTCTGGAAGAGACCGCCTTGCTCTCCAAAGTTCATTACTGCCAGCAGCCAAGGTGTGAGCCAATGTCCACGGATAAACGTGATGGAAAATGTGGCATTATACATACATGTCAACATACGGAGTCACAACCCAACCCAACCCAGCCTGGGTCAGGAGACCCTGGGGGCCCACACTGCGGCATCCTGAATCGGCCAGCAGAGCCAGTAACGTGGACACAGCGAGGGTCTGGGGCGAGGCACCGGCAGGACACTGTGATGGTGGAAGTCTGTGCGAAGGGTCCCTTATTTGCCCTTTCACTTCTTCTTTATTCTTTCCCCCCACCCTCATTAGCGCATATTGAATACAGCCGAGTCCACTTAGACCAGGTGCTTCTGGCCCCAAGCCCACTCCCTGTAGCGCTCGGCTTAAACTCCTTAGCCCACAACAGCATATCCAACTAAGCCTTCACCTGCAGCATTCCATACAGGCGCCGGTTCTAATCCCGGCTGCTCCACTTCCCTTCCAGCTCCCTGCTTATGACCTGGGAAAGCACCAGAGGATGGCCCAAGGCCTTGGGACTCTATCCACATGGGAGACCTGGAAGAGCTCCTGACTTCAGACCAGCCCAGCTCCAGCCACTGCAGCCATCTGGGGAGCGAACCAGTCGATCTAACATCTATGTAATTCTGCCTTTCCAATAATAAATTTTTAAAAAATAGAAAGGTAGATGTTACCAGAAAGTCTTTTAATATGGAGTGCATATGTAAATATAATTGATAATTACTTCTTGGAAGGAAAACAGAACCACAGTGCATCCCCACTCATTTCATGACCATGAAAGAAGTCAGCTTGCAAGGACTGAGCAGGCAGAAACCTTTCTGCATTCCTCAGATATCTCCAAAACGACCCATGCCAGAGACACGGAAGGCACGGCAGGCTGCCATCCAGAGCCATGGCAAGGCGTGCCTTCAGCGCATCTGTGCACACATACAGGAAGCAGTACCCATCAAGGACGCAGCACCCCAGCCCACGGGAAGGACTGTGGATGGTCACGGCCAAGGCCAGCCAAGATATGGAGGCCGCTCAGCACCACGCCATCCCCAGGCAGGGCCCCCCACGCCACCCCCCATCTGAGAAAGGTCCCCCAGCAAGGAGTACTTGTGAGCCCTCAGTTCTAAGTGAGAAGCAGTGGAGGTTAGCCAGCACTACACACAGTGCTCCCCCCTCTGAGCTCTCCGGTGCCCCATCGCCTGGTTCAAACCCCTGGCCCTCCTCGTAGAGGAACAACAAGTGCTTGCTAAAACATCATCCAATGTGGCTGTGGGCTGCGCCAATGGAAATCCTGCTCTCACATATGCCCGTCTTGTCTGCCTACGAGTTCCTGCAGGTCCCCGCAGGGTGACACCGGACGTACTGGCATTTCAAATCATGTCCTCTAGCTGCGCTTTTGGGGTTCAGTATTCGGTTCCATGTTTGTCCCGCTCGACTAAACGCATCCTCCAGAAAGCCAACGCCGAGGCATTGCTCAGCTTTTAAACCAGGCCCACAGCTCGGCAGCACTCCTGTCCCTGGCCACACGCTTGCTCCCTGCCAGGGTTAGACCTGCCACCGTGCCGCTAGCAGCAGGCGCCTCAAGGCGTCTTTGGTTACAAACCGTCATCTTTGACAAAGAAATGGCTGTGCACAATTACAGAGCACCAGAGGCAAACTTGCCCCATCCCTGATGTTTGTCATCCCAGGATGCTGGGCTGCACCGAGCTCGCATGGCCGTAACCAAATCAACAGCCGCGGGGTCATGATTTGGGGCTCTGACCGGAGATAACCTACGTTCTCAGCCATAGGACGAGGGCAGGGGATGGTGCAGGCCAAGCTGAACTGCTCCAGAAGACGAGGCTGTGCGTACCTTGTGGTGTCCCAGGTAGACAGTTCTACACTTGACCTCGTGTGACAGGTCACATTCACACACAGCTGTCACCTACACTTGGCTTCAGCTTTCAAATAGGAGGTATACAGGAAACGTGAGTGGATGTTGCATGTAGGCACAGATCCCATCACGCACGTGCAAGCATTTGAAAATGCAACCAAATCCAACATCCAGTTAAGGTGGCCCCAGACACCCCTGCTGCAGGTCCTCAACCCTCCGTCAGCCTCAAGCACATTGTGTCTGCGGAGGCAGCTGTGCGTGTGCGTTTGTCACGTCTAGGGGGTCCCTGCAAGTATCTGAGGTTTTCCAGAAGGATGGAGAACACAAGAAAGACGGAGCAAGAAATCCTGGCGTCACTCAGCTACAGGCGTAGCTCTGCCTCCGAGGGGACTGGAGATCTTGGTGGCGCTCCCGGACGCCTCAGTCCTGCTGCTTCCAGCTGAAGGACACAATCACGCCTGCTTCAGAGCCCGGTGCTGGAGACTAGACAGAGACAAAAATGCCTGCACACGGCCCGCTCTGCACGAGCCCCCCGATACTGCGGAATCTGGCTCAGCATTGCCCTGGGGTCTCAGGTGATGGCTCTTTTCCAACAAGGCAGGTAGCATGAAAGTCCCAAGCAGGACACAGCTCACTGCTCAGGCCCTTCAGCTCTGGACACCGACGCTCTGTGGACAGTCCTATCACTGTCTGACAATCATGTACTGAGCAACGCGTGCCAACCATCAAACAGAAGATAAGCTTCCCGGAAACCCCCTCTGGGCCCCCCGCCCCCGCCCCGTCAAGGGCTCCCACTCACCGATTTTTCTCCTGGTGATCCTATCGCAGAGATCTTGACGTGGGACCCTTGCAAATAAGTCGAAAGCCAAGTTCCACGTGTACTGAACCTCGTAAGCGTCCATCAGCACTTCGACCACATCCTCCCGCCCGGCCTGCTGCAGTTCGGACAGCGGAACCTGTGGAAGCTCCAGCCACATGGGCTCCTGCTCCAGCAACTGCTTAAACTTATTGAACTCCTGCTCGCTGAGTTCTTTGAGAAAAGTCAGCAGGTCCAAGTCTAAGTCAGGCACCGTCATCCTGCTTCTCTGGTGAGGTCAGATGTCAGAGTACGGCTCTCCGGGTACAAGGCATATGGACCTGGAAAAGGCATACCAGGTCAGAGACTCGCTCTGCATGGCCACAGCAAGACGCTCAAAGCTGGCATCACAGCGAGCTCTACCACCCCCGCTCACATCCTTTGCCGTGATCGCCCTCCTTGCAGTTTAGAGATCCGGCTTACTCCTTTCCCTGGGCCAGCACCTATTCACTCTCTCAAGTCACATGAGGTCCCAGCTCCACTCTCATTGCACTGTCCATTGTGCTCAATAAAACCCCAATAAACAGATTGTTTCAGCCCTTTAGATCCTGCTGGGCTTTCGTACCTCACACCAGACTTCAACATCTGTTAGCAACAGATATGTCCCAGCCCCACACCCAAAAATAAAGTCTGAAGACACGCCATGCTCCCCAGCCAAGAGCTCCCTTGCTGCGTGCTGCCACGCAGACGTGCTAAGTCCTGCACCAGCCCCCTCACCCTCTTCTCCATCACGAATCTGCGTGTCATCCTTGCGCAGAAGCCATGCTCATCTTCTCTGTATCATTCCAATTTTAGTATATGTGCTGTTGAAGTGAGCACACCCTCTTCTCCTAAGCAGTGAGGGGGGTTAGTAGCCTCCAGACAGACTCCAGCCCCAACACGAGTGCTCACGTGTGTGCCTGTCCCAACACTGTCAACTGCACGTGACCGCCAACACATTACGTTACTCCCCAAGAGCTGCCTAGGACCCCGGGAGCTCCCACAGCTGTGCTTGTAATACCAGCCTGGTCCTGTTACTTCCTGTGGTCATCACAGAGCCAGCCCTTGTGCCTGGAGGAACCTTGATGCCCTGAACAGACATGACCAAGGTGATAGCAACTTATCTTCAGCCAGGATGGAGAGAGAAGAGCTGACAAGACAGGGTGGGAAGAGGGCAGCCAACGACCCCACCGTCTCATAATCACGCTTGGGTGTGTAAAGTGCAGGAAGGAGGGCATGAGCGTGGATGAAGGCAGGTAAGTGCTTCAAGTCCAACTTCCCCATCTCCAACCACAAAATACACCCACCTGGCCGAGGACTTTTGTGCATAAAGAGACCTTTGGTGGGGCCAGCATGTTGACTCAACTGGCCAATCCTCCCCCTTCGAGTGCTGGGATCCTATAGGGACACTGGTTCAAGTCCCGGCTGTTCCACTTCCCATCCCGCTCCCCATTTGTGGCCTCGGAAAGCAGTAGAAGACGGCCCAAATCCTGAGGCCCCTGTACCCACATGGCAGACTCTGAAGAAGCTCCTGCTGAGACTGCTGGCAAGCCTGGCCCCTGGATGGCCCCTGGGAACGCGGGCTAGGGGAGGGTCCTGCTGTGCCGAGAACTGGCCAGGAAGGCTCATGGGTCATGGATGGACTGTACCAACCAAACCTGTGTTCTGGCACCTGCCTTCTGTCTTGGAGCCTAGAGTCTGACACAGCCCACCACCAGGGGCCAGGTGCACAGTCCCACCAGCACCAGAGGCTGACACAGCCCACCACCAGGGGCCAGGTGCACAGTCCCACCACCACCAGAGGCCGACACAGCCCACCACCAGGGGCCAGGTGCACAGTCCCACCAGCACCAGAGGCCAACACAGCCCACCACCAGGGACCACGTGCACAGTCCCACCACCATTCAAGGGTTGGACACAATCATCAACTGCAAAGTTAGCCTGCTACGATCAACTGCATTTCTAGTCCTGTTTCTGGTCATCTCAACAGGACCAATCCAAATGACCTCCCAGGCCTTGGGTGGCCTGCAGGCTGGACACTGCCCCCTGCCTGCCAGAAGAGATGGTGGGGGGCTTCATGAGTGCCCTGGATTTTTTTTTTGCTGTAATAAATCAAGGCTTTATCATAAATGTATGAGCAGTAACAGGCAGCCTAACGAGAGGGGGCTTTGTGATCCCTAACGTGCAGGGGAGTGTGAAGTCACCTCAACGCTTGACTCAGACTTTTCACAGATGAAGGCTCTTCAAACATGGGATGACAAGACATCGCCGGCTGGCCTTGCGGCATGGTGTGTGAAGCTGTCACCTGCAATGTCAGCTTGCCACGTGAGCTCCCTGCCACCCGTGTGGGAGACTGACGAAGTTCTTGGCTCCTGGCTTTGCCCCGGCCCAGCCCTGGCCACTGCTGCCCCTTGGGAGAGTGAATCAGCAAATGGAAGATTTTATTTTATTTTTATTTATTTATTTTGCAAAGTCAGGTATATACAGAGAGAAGAGACAGAGAGAAAGATCATCCGTGCAATGATTCACTCCCCAAGTGACTGCAACAGCCAGTGCTGTGCTGATCCGGAGCCAGGAGCCAGGAGCCTCCTCCAGGTCTCCCACAGGTGCAGGGTCCCAATACTCTGGGCCATCCTCCACTGCCTTCCCAGGCCACAGGCAGGGAGCTGGATGGGAAGCAGGGCCGCCAGGATTAGAACCAGTGCCCATATGGGATCCGGGCGCGTTCAAGGTGAGGACTTTAGCCACTAGCCCACAGCGCTGGGCCCTCTCTGACTTTCAAATAAGTAAATCTAAAATAAAAACTTAGGTGCAAAATATTTTAAACCCATGGATAGTTTAAGATTTATTATTATTTAAGAGGCAGAGTTAGAAAAGATCTTGTACCCACTGGGTCACTCTCCAGATAGCTACAATGGTTGCAGCTGTGCCAATTTAAAGCCAGGAGCCAGGATTGCTTCCGAGTCTCTACGTGGTCTCTTCCCAGGCCCAAGTAGAGAGCTGGATGGGAAGCGAAGCAGCCAGAACCCAAGCTGGCACCGTGAGGGGGCTTAGCTTCCTATGCCATGATGCTAGTCCCTGTTACACGTGTGTAACAGCAGGTCCACATTTAAGTCCACGCTGGGACAAGAAAGGAGTAAGGGACTCAGAAAATGCCATCTCACACCATTACACACACAGAATCCAGGACATGGAAGCGTCCAGCGTGAGCCCAGGGCCAGCTCGGCCATAGTGGCTAAGTCGCCACTTAGAAATCCGCCTCCCGTTCTCAGAAGGCCTGCGTTCACCCTGGCTCCCAGCGCTCTAACCCAGCTTCTTGCCATCCCAGGCCCTGGGCGGGATGCAATAGTGACGGCTCAGATGCTTGCGTCCCTGACACCCACAGGAGACCCGGGCTGAATATTGAGCTCCTGGTTTTGGCCTGACCTGGCCCGGCCCCCACTGCACCCCAGGGCCCCGGCGTACCCACTGCACCCCCGGGCCCCGGCCCCCGCTGCACCAGGCATCTGAGGAGCCAACCACTGGGTGCAGGGAGTACTCCCTCCCTCCGAACTTTGAAAAATGAGTCTGTTGAGAGTAAATATGGTGGGATCCACGTAGTTCTGAAGACACACAAAGAAAACAGTAAGAAACGGGCTTTAAATAACCCCTTCTACTTGCATTCATAACATGCACAAATGGAGATCAGAACGTACAAAGACAGGAAGTTATAAATGGTTAAGACGGTCACAAACAGAGCCGTTAATTCATACAGAGCTCGAGACAAGTTCAAGCGATCGACTCAGAACAGTGACACATGACTGGATCGCCAAGGTCAACTATCGCTTGGCGACGAACACAAGGTGAATTTGAGCATCTGGCTTCACTCTTGGGCAGGAACGAGCGAGGCGGAATTCAGCAGCTGCAAGGCTCGCAGAACGCCCTTCCAATTCCGCTAAAGCAGAACCAGCTGGAGCTGACGGGAAGGGCTTGATTGCCTGCCCCTGCTACCTCACTGGGACGCGCTTTAAACCTACTTTAAAACCAAGGATTACAACCACACTTCAGGAAAGCTGAAGAGCCCCCACCACAGTGTTGTGGGGAAAAGCAGGACGTTCATGAGTGTACACGGAGTTCAATTTGCTGGAAAAGAATCCGTGTGCTCCTCGCTCGGATCCGTTTCCAGCAAACCCGAGTCAGTTTTGCACGGCTGACTGCAAAGCCCGCCAAGCCGTCCAGTGTGCCCCCCTTCCGACCTCTCCTGAGCTTCCTGGTGACTGACTGGGGGCCTTCACAGCCCAGACACCCCGAAGTCCGACCTGAACATGGGCAGCGTGCTGTAGGCACAAGCCAATGAGACGCGCTGGGCACCCCGAGTGACAGAGCAGTGGGTCTGAGTGGCAGATACGCGCTGGCCTCACGGCCCGAAGCTGCTGCCCTGCGGCGACCGCCCTAGAAGGCCACTTGGCAGTCTTGACATCTCAGGGCTCAGGAGTACACCCACCAAAGCTATCCAGCAGGGCCCAGACACCAGTGACTGCCACCACTGCCCAGCTGTCACCGGTTGGGGCGGCCGGAGTCCAGCCGAAGCCCCCACGGGCGTGTCTGGGCCTTTCCAGCAGCAGGAACGCTGGAGCTGGCCCTTTCAATATCCCGCCAACGAAGTGAAGGAGTGAGGTTATCACATTAGGAAAAAAAAAAAAAAGGAAAGAAAGAAAAGGCAAGAAAATTGGCGAGAAGGGTGCGGCTGCACTCAGGGGCCATGTGACATGCGTAGGTGTAAGCGGTACGCGGGTTCCAAGGCCAAGATGGAAAGTGACCATGGGAAGTCTCGGTCGGGCAGTGCCCAGCTGTGGAAGGGGCACTCTGCCCTTGGTGGCCCAGTGAGGGGGCGGCAGGGCACGAGACACACGAGGCAGGGACCGAGACGTGGCAGAAGTGGACAGGGGTCACGTCAAGGAAACGGGGAGCAGCGAGAAGCAGGGTTGGAGGGAAGCACGGAGAGCGGGCGGCCGAGCCGGCGGGAGGGCCAGGGCTCAAGGATGACAAACCAGGCCTGAGGCTTCTAAATATATTTGGCACACACCAAAAAATCTTAGAAGATCCATTTTTTTTTTAAAAAAAAAAACCTTTTTGAAGCCCAATGGGATGACGACAGTCTAGGACAACGGTACATTTCAACATGACGGTGGGAGAGTCCGGAGATTCCCAAAGAAACCCTATTTGAGATGAAAACGTTAATGAGGTGGGTGTCATCCTCGCGGAGCCAAGACTAGGTCCACACATCCCACGCCAAGTCGAAATCGCGAAGCCCAAAGAGGGTCACTCACCGTGTCAGACAGCAGCGCTCCCCGCGCAGGTCCAGGAAAGCCGAGCCGGGAAGCACGCTCCACACTGCAACGAGCCACTTCTCTTATCGGCTCAGGTGGTGCTCCGCGGGAGGAAGAGGAGGCTACACCTGGGTGCGTCTGTCTGCCTGGCCTCGCAGGAGCTGCGGATTAGAAGCCGCCCCGGCCCAGCTGAGAGCCAACAGGATGGATGGGCCCGTCCCAATGGGCAGGAACTCCGCCCATCCCGGGCAGCGTGGCAGCCGGCCTAGGCGTGCCCAGTGCGTGGGTGCTCTGGCTCCACAACCCCAGGGCAAGCAAACCGAGGGAACGCCACGGTACCCGTGTGACTGCAGCCAGCATGCCCGTCACGGGTGGTAGAAGCTGTGGTAGTCCCAGAGCCTTCACTGGATGGCGACCCAAGTGGAATCCCCTGGGGACCATCCAGGCTTGCAGCTGACCTGCCCCGCCCCCAGGCGTGTTCCTGAGTCAGGAGGGCTGTGACTGACAATGCGACTCCTCCCATTAAAGAAATTACAGGAGGGACCGGTGCCGTGGCATGGCAAGCTAAGCCTCTGCCTGAAAAATATGGGTACCAGCGTTATTGGTGCCAGTTTGATTCCTGGCTGCTCCAGTTCCAGCCCCACTCCCTGCTTGTGGCCTGGGAAAACGGTAAAAGACGGCCTAAAGCTCTGGGATCTTTCACCCACATGGGAGATCCAGAACAGGCTCCGGGCTCCTGGTTTCAGATCGGCGCAGCTCCAGCCATTCCTGCCTTTTGGAGAATGAATCAATGGACAAAAGATTCCTCTCTGTCTCTCCTCTCTCTGTATATCTGACTTTCCAATTAAAATAATAATAAATCTTTTAAGATTTTGTTTACAATGACATCCTTTCAGTTTACTTCTTAATCACAGACTTAACACTCCATTAGATAAAGAATTCAACAACTAGGGGCCAGCGTGGTGGGCTAATCCTCCATGTGCAACACTGGTATCCTATAAGAGCTGGCTACTCCGCTTCCCATCCAGCTCCCTGCTTGTGGCCTGGGAAAGCAGCGGAGGACGGCCCAGAACCTTGGGACCTGCACCCGTGTAGGAGACCTGGAGGAGGACACACTAAGGGCAACTATTTTGCAGCAAGCCTGCACAGGCGACCACAGGAATATCTGCGACAACCTGAGGCTGAGGGCATTCAGCAAAACTACCTCTGAATAGGGCATTTGTGGACAACAGGTCCCAGTGTGACTGGCAGTTCCCCGTGGGTAACTCAGGGCTGTGCCCTCGGGAAGGTGTGCAAGAGTGTGGGGTCCATGCCAGCAAACCCCGAGAGCCCGGCCAGCCGCCTGTCGCTGGACCGTAGCAAGCCACACACTCCAACCCTGTGAGGCAGTGAAGAGAAGCGGGCTGACGAAAAGGCAGAGTGAAGCCACCCTGCCCGTAGAATTCTGCCCTGCCCGTAGGCAGAGCCTTGTCGGGACTGGGCAGGCAGGGACTGTGACAGCCGAGTCGTGTGTGCTCCTGGCTCAGGGTTGGAGACCCGAGCTCTGCAGGCAGCACGGTAGCTGCCTCTCCAACATCCCACTGCGTTTTCCCGCACACACACAATGTGCTCACAACCAACTTGGTAACAATGAAGTTCGTCAGACTCCTACAAAGAGGAGCTGACACCTGGCTGATGGGACAGTCCTGAGATCGGCGCCTCCAGGGAGCCTTGGGGATGACTGGCAATTGGAAGGCAGCAGGGCGGAGGGAAAGCCATGCACCCTACCAAAACATGGCCCTCGGTCCTGGACAACACTCTCCTGTGCTTGGGGCAGCCAGTGCTTCGTGCTCATGACTGCCCTGGCGCCCTTCTGAGGAACCAGCCCTGCGGGATGTAAGGAGAGCCCTCAGCGTTCCCCAGTCCAGCCCCTGGGGCTCCTGAAGCAGAGCCTCTCTCCGAAAGACTCCCCATCCTGTAGGGCGCCAGGAACAAGGGCCCAGACGAGCACCCAAGGGTGGGAAGGTGGAAAGTTCTGGTTCTCACATCCCTGGGGGGCGGGCAATGAGTCAGAAGTCCGCTGGGCCAATGGGAAGGGAGGAACTTGCTGGCCAATGGGACGGCACCAAAGCGCTTTTGCTCTCAGCTCCAGCTGCCATGCCTAAGGACCAGGCCCGGGAAGGCTGGGGTGAGCCGGAGGGTTCGGTGGGGAGGGGGTGGGAGGAGCCGGGAGCGCTTGACGCTGGGTTTCTCTTTCCTGTGCTGCTGCAGGTCTTCCTTGTGCCTGTCTTTATCCTGCCTTCTTTCTGAGCCGGGGTTCAGTGTGGTCTTACCGTGGGTTGGTGCTCTTCAGCCGGTGGCTTGCAAGGGTGACCTCCTCCTGCCTGCGTCTGCGGCACTTGCCGGATCCTCCAGCGCGCGCTCGCTGCCCCGGCCCAGTCTGCCCGCTTGGTCACCTGGCTCTCCTGACGCTAGGGATGGCAGAATAAACTACACGTGTTGATCAATTCCCCATGGGGTCGCCCTCAGGATCAGAAGCAGGGGCGTTTCAGAGACCCAGCACAAGAAAGGACTTACCAGGGGAGAGAGCTGGGGGCGCAGAGGGGGATGCCTTTATGAGAGCCCAGAGAGCCCATGCCTGCTTATTTCTATTGCCCTTTTGAAAGTCATTTTTTTTTTTTTAAATTGGAAAGGCGGAATTACAGAGAAGAAGGTCTTCCATCTGCTGGTTCACTCCCCAAATGCTGCAACAGCCAGAGCTGATTTGATCCGAAGTCAGGAGCCAGGAGCTTTTTATGGGTCTCCCATGCGGGTGCAGGGTCCCAAGGCTTTGGGCCATCCTCCACTGCTTTCCCAGGCCACAGGCAGGGAGCTCGTTGGGAAGGGGAGCAGCTGGGACCTGAACTGGCGATCATATGGGATGCCAGTACTTGGAGGTGGAAAATTAGCCAGTTTATCTACCACTCCAACCCATCTATCCTTGAATATGTAGATTTCAAATGTTTTTCAATGAAAGAAATTGGCCTCATCATTCCATTTGTCCATGAGGTTTTCCCAGTGTCCTTTGTTCCTCGCACTGAGTGGCTGAAGAGTTCTTTTCTCCCAGTTAGTTCCAAAGCCCGCAGTGACTCTGACCTTGGCTGTGCTCAGCCCTCCCCATGTCCTGTTGCTTCGCGTCTCGCCGGAAGCTCCAGGGGCCAGTGCTTTCCACGGTGACCCCTGCAGTGGTGTCGCAGCGTCGTAGCCCTGTTTAAGCTCTCCTCGCGCCCGCGGCAGCGATGGGAATCACCTGTCTTGGTTCTCACTTCCCACCCGTTTCTCTGACGAAGCAGTTCAGGCCTTTCGCCTCTGTTTTCCCTCTGGTTGTTTCGAGTTGAGTTGTAAGAGCTCTCTGTGTATTTTGGAGACAAATCATCAGATATGTAATTTCAATATCATTTTCCCCATTTACATTTTGTACCCAGTGTCCTTCTCAGATGTTTGTCATTCCTTTCTGATAGAACATTCCGAATCCATGTAATTTTTGAATTACACGATACATGAGTGTAACTACACTCACCCTCTGTGTCACAAACACCAGAACATCCTCCTCCTCCCCGGCCGTGAGTTGGCACTCACTAACCGTGCCCCCCCGGTGCCCTCTTCTCTCCTGCTGCCCAGCTGGTGACCCCACCATTCTGTTCTCTGTTGCCATGAGCTCAGCTTTCAAGCATATATATTTGAAATGTGGAATCGCAGAAAGGGAGAGAGAGAGACAGATCTTCCATCCACTGGTTCATTCCCCAAGTGGCTGCGTTGGCCAGGGCTGGGCCAGCCCGAAACCAGGAGCCAGGAGCTCTGTCTAGGCCTCCCCTGCAGGTGGCTGGCACTTGAGCTGTCTTCCGGTGCTTTCCCAGGCACACTGGCAGGGAGCTGGATCAGAAGTGGAGCTCTATATGGGACACTGCCGTCCCACACTGTAACCTAGTCTCCTGTACCATGACTGTGGTTCTAAACTCTTTTTTTTTCTGCATTTGGAGTTAATTTTCGGGTGAGATGTGCAGTCTGTGTCTAGCTTTTCTTCTCCATTGTTAAGCTGGACTGCGGTCTTTCCAGCCTGATTTGCTGAAACGAGTATCCTCTGTGCCCCGTCTGACGCCAAGGCTGCGTTCGGAGGCCGCGTGCCTCCCTGTCACCTTCTGGGAGAGCAGGTGATCTCTCTGCCCTCCGTGTTGTTGTATTTGCCTCTACCCTGCAGATGCACCGTGTGGGAACGGGCTCAGTGCCTCACGCCTTCTGGGTTCCCCCCTCATGACCCCCTGGCCCACTCTCCTGTCCATCAGCATGCATTGGCCTTCTAGCTGGACCCGTTAACTACCGTGACTGGTGCCTCCGTCTGCACAGCCGGGCTTATGCGCTGTATTTTGCAGCTGGTGCAGACCAACCCCGGCGTCCCCTCACTCCAGCAAGGGGCCACGCGCAGCTCCCGATGGCGTGGAATAGCTGGAAACTGCCCTGCATTTGCTACAGGTCCAGCCTCTCTCCAGATCAGCACCTCCGGGGCAAGATGGCGGCCTCTTTCTTCTCCGACTTTGGCCTTCTGTGGTACCTGGAGGAACTCAAGCGGAAGGAGTTCGTGCAGTTCAAGGAGCACCTCAAGCGGGAGACGTTGCAGCAGGGGCTGGAGCCGATCCCCTGGGCCAAGGTGAAGAAAGCCTCGCGAGCAGACCTCGCAGACCTGATGACAAAGAGCTACAAGCAGCAGCGGGCCTGGGAGGTCACCTTGGCGGTGTTTCACAGGCTGGGCAGGAAGGACCTGTGCGACAGGGCCAGGAGCGAGAGCACAGGTGCGTAGACTTCTTTTAAATTGAATTTTTATGTTGATGCAGCTACTTCTCGTGTCATCACTTCGGTGGTCCCTGCGTCACCATGGGGAGCGGCGGGGAGACTGCCCCCCACTGCCCGGGTGAGCATGGCAGTGACATGCCGGTGTGTGTCTTAACCTGGACCAGACCACCGGGCCATTAGTAACATCACCTTCCACTGAAAGCTTATATCCAAATGGGAAGCTCCGTAAGGTGGAGCTACAAGCACAGAGATGGTGGGCCTGGCCCAGCAGCAGCCGACACCTGCTGCGGGTTGTACAGGACCAGAGGCTAGCTGATGCAATCATGTGCGTGAATGGACTTCAAACAACCTTCCCAAGGTGTCTGACTCATTCGTGCATTTTTTAAATATTCAGTTTTATTGATGAGGCAGATTTACAGAGAGAAAGATCTTCCATCCACTGATTCAATTCCCAAATGGCTCTATCAGCTGAACTGAGCCAAGCTGAAGCCAGAAGCCTCTTCCGGGTCTCGCATGCGGGTGCAGGGTCCCAAGGCTTTGGGCCGTCCTCTGCTGCTTTCCCAGGCCACAGGCAGGGAGCTGGATGGGAAGTGGAATAGCAGGGGTGTGAACCGGCGCCCATATGGGATGCCTGCACTTGGAGGTAGAGGATTAGCCAGTTGAGCCATCATGCCAGGCCCATTTTGACACATGTGTGCTGTTTTCTGCTAAAGGCAGAGACGAGTGCCAGAAAGTGAGTGACTCACGGAAACCCATCGGCTGCTGTCATCTGCCGGGCTTCAGCACTGTTCCTTTCATTCTTCAACATTTGTTTTTATTTATTCAGCTTGTGCACATTTGTCTGTAGTAGGGCTTGTCTAACTCTCCACGGAATACCTGTAATTCAGATTCCAGATTCTCCCCTCCGCCCCAGCTGTGGCAGACGCGTGTAAAGGGACTGTGTGAGTGGGTCCTGGTGACTGCTCGTAGATGCGGGCAGTGGGCAGCAGGGTGCAGCCCCTGGGGAGGGTGAACTCGGGCCAGAGATCTGTATGCGAGTGTGCATGCCTCGCTTTAATCTGGATGCTTCCTCGTCTCTTGTCCTTGCCGGCCAGGGCACGCAAAGCTGTATCAAGACCACGTCAGGAAGACATTTCATGCCTGGGAGCCCCGTGTTGCAGCCCGTGAAGCCTGCGACCTGAGGCTCAGCCAGGAGGAACGGGAGTTCATGTGTCGCCTTTTTGCTCCTGGGGACGCAGGAGAGCAGGCACCCACGGTGGTCTTCCAGGCGTCCCCGGGCATGGGTAAGACCACGCTGCTGTGGAAGCTGCTGCTGGCCTGGGCTGAGGGCAGCCTCTACCAAGATCGCTTTGCCTGTGTCTTCTACCTGTGCTGCCACAAGCTGAAGCCGCTGGCGCCCACGAGCCTGGCTGGGCTGCTGGCCTGCGACTGGCCCGACGCCCCGGCCTCCGTGGCGGAGATCCTGACCCTGCCGGAGAGACTCCTGTTCCTGGTGGACAGCTTGGAGGAGCTGGGCTGTGACCTGCTGGAGCCGGAGTCGCCTCTGTGCAGCAGCAGGGCGGAGATGCAGCCAGTCTGGGTGCTGCTCAACAGTCTGCTGGGGAAGACGCTGCTGCCCGGGGCCTCGCTGCTCGTCGCCGCCACCCCTGAGTGTGCCAGGAAACTTGCTACCAGGCTGCAAAACCCCAAAATCATAACCCTGAGGGGATTCAGCGAAAACCACCGCAAGCTGTATTTCTGCAGCTGGTTCCAAAGCAACAGCAGGGCCTTGGAGGCTTTCCGGTGCGTGAGAGAAAACCCATACATCTTCTCCATGTGCCGAAACCCGCAGCTGTGCTGGCTCGCCTGTGTGTCCGTGAAACAAGAGATGGACCGGGGCAGAGACCCAGCCCTGAGCTGCAGGTGCGTCACCTCCCTGTTTGTCTGCTTCATCTTGAACTCGTTCACTCCCAAGGGGGCCAGAGGGCCGCCGCGGCAGAGCCGGGCTCTGTTGAAGGGCCTGTGTTCTCTGGCTGCCGAGGGCATATGGACCAACGCGTCCACGTTCAGTCGGGAGGCCCTCCGCAGAAACGGGCTCACGGACAGCGACGTGGCCGCCCTGCTGGACGCCAGGGTCCTGCGGCGCAGGGCGCCCGAGGATTCCTATGCGTTGCTGCACTTGGGGGTGCAGGAGTTCTGTGCGGCCCTGTTCCACCTGCTGCAGCGCGGGGACCACCCCCACCCCGCGGTGCGGGACGTGGAGACGCTGCTGCAGAGGCTCCTGAGCAAAAGCGAATCGCCCTGGATCTTCCTGGGCTGTTTCGTCTTCGGCCTGTTGAATGAGAGGGAGCAGGAAAGACTGGATGCGTTTTTTGGCTCCCACCGGTCCCAGGAGAGAAAGCAGCAGCTGCTCGGGCTCCTGAAGAGCCTGGATGAGGAGCAGGTGGACTTTGCCCTCCTCTTCTCCTGCCTCTGTGAGATCCGGGACGAAGCCTTCGTGCGGCAGACCATGGAGTCCTTCCGGGAGATCAAAGTGACCATAGCCCACACCTTCCAGCTGGCCGCTTCCGCCTACTGCCTAGGACACTGCTCCGGCCTGAGGAAGCTCTGCCTTTCTGTCCAGAATGTGTTTCCAGGAGAAGATGGAGGCGGACAGAGGTGAGTCCCTCCCGTGCCCTTCATGGCCCCTGCGCCAGGAGCCTCAGGCACACAGGTGGATCTGGTGATGCAATTCCGAAGACCTCTTGAGGTCATGGTTACAGTCTCAACTTTGCCATCCGAAAGGCATCAATTCAAGTCCCTAGTCAGCTCTTCCTAGATTTTGTAAGAAGCATGTATTTAGTTATTTGAAAAACAGAGTGATGGCAGGAGAGGAAGAGAGAGAATTTTCCAACTGTTGAGTCACTTTCCAGATGGACCTCAACAGCTGGGGCTGGAGCAGGCCACAGCCAGGCCCTGGGACTCCGTCTGTCTCCCATGCGGGTGGCAGGGCCATTTTCTAGGACAGATGAAGCAGCGCAGCAGGAAAGTAAACTGGCCCAGGTGGCATGGTCAGGGAGCTGGGCAGACTGCTTGCGCTGCCGGCACAGTTCCTGTGTCTGACTTAGCTCTAGTGCCCTGACCCACCTCTCACCTACTTGGGCTGCCCCATCTTGGCACAAATGGCCTCTCTCCTGGGGAGGGAGCCTGTCCTGCGCACTGTAGGATTGTTACAAGCACACGCTGGGTGCCCGAAACACCTCTACAACCAAGCTCACCCGAGGTGCTGCCCAGTGTCCTGGTGGGCGAGCTTTGTGGGGGTGACCCTGGCTGATTCACCGCCCCCCGACTCCAGCAGGGGCTGAGGTGGGCGCCGTGCTCAGGAGGGCCGGTGGCTTGGCTCGTCCACTCAGCTGGGGTACCTTCCCTTTCCTCCCCACGCAGGTCACAGCAAAACCTCGTCCTCTGGCGTCAGATCTGCACCGTGCTCACCACCAACCAGCACCTCTATGCATTCCAAGTGAGGGACAGCAGCCTCCCCATGTCTGTCATGGTGGACCTCTGTCATCAGCTGAAGCAGCCCAAGTGCTACCTCCAAAAGCTCCAGTGAGTGGCAAGGCAGCCCTGACCTGAGCCGCTTCTGGCTTGCGGCCCAGACTGACCACGTCAACATGAGGTGACCATCCAGGCAGAGTCCAGCATGCCCTGCTGGGTCACAGGAGGCAAAGTCAAGTGGGTGTGGCCTCGCCCATGACTCCTCTGGTTCCGAGCATCACGGCTTCCCCGGCGGAGGCAAGGGAGTAATGGTGGGCAAAACCGCGGCGTTAAGAACCGCTGGGCCGCCTGATGACGTTGTGAAACCCAAGTGTGAGCTCATGACCAACGTGGGAAGCAATGAGACAGACCAACAGGTTCTCGGCCTGTGCTCACCTGGAGATGGCATTGCTTTATTTTGCTTTTGCAGGATGAATAATGTGTCCCTTCGCTGTGAGATGTGGGCTTTCTTCGAGGTGCTCATTCACAACCCAAACGTGACGTGCCTGGACCTCAGCTGCACCGGCCTCTCCCAGCACGACGTGCAGGTGCTCAGCAAGGCCTTGAAGCACCCAGCGTGCAACGTGCGGGAGCTCCTGTAAGTGTCCACGCTGCCTCTGTGGGGCTCCGACCTCAGGCCAGCAAGGACTGGGCAGTGTCCAGCACGTCCACTCAGTCTGCTTTCCCAGTGGTCACAGGCGTACCGCACCTGCTGGGAAGCCGAGACCAGCATACAAAGGTCAGTCCTGCAGTCGAGACACGTACTGTGGAGGGACGATTCGGCACAGCGTGCAAACCAGAGTCCACACCAAGTGGGCACTGGATGAAGCTGCCTGACTCTGCTTGCAGAGAGATGGGCGTGAAGCAGCCCCATCAGTTACCTGAATCACCTGAAAAATGAAAACATCCGCTAGGTTTTATAACAAAGCGTGGTTGTCTTGTAATGTTCCCTGAGGATGCATGATCTGCCGCATGGGAAGACACACAGCTAAAACACGTGGGGGCGCTGGGAGAGTGTCCAACTGATGGGTGGACCACACAGCACTCCTAGGGGCAAGACAGAGACCGCACGGGTTCCGACAGTGGTGCTGGGGTGGGGGGTGGGCGGTGACAGGTGGCGAGCCCAGGAGGGGAGGACCTGCCCACCTGGGTGTCTCCTGACCGGAATATGGTCACACGGGTGTGTTTATTTCGTGACAGTATCCGCAATGATGCCTTTGCCCGTGTGTGACAGTCGCATCAAGCATTTTCCTTAAATCAAGTAGGAATTCTCTTCCATATGTATTCTCCACTGCGCCCCGTCGCATCAGCAGATTCAGGTACTTCTTGAGACACCTGACTGTCTCAGCTCCAGTCAATTGAACTACAAAGAGAATTGTCGAGCTGTGGTTCGCATGCCACAAAAGCTGTGTTTTTGAGATGTCCATGATTGCCTGATGCAAGAACATCCTTGTGCCTGGGTGAGAAGCACCTGTCCCAGTCTGTGGGAGCCACTAGCAGGCTTTGGTTTGGGGACGTTCCTCTTCTGGGAAGCTCAGCTAAATTGGATTATACTGTCATGGGAAGTGGGCATTGGGAGGGTTCACCATGGAGGACAAAGCAACAGCACAGCATGTCTCATGAAGCTGCACAGTCACTGACAGAGCATCCAAAGAATCTACAGAAAAGCATGAATATGGAATGAGATTCAGACATGAAGCAAGGGTAGGAGCAGCCAGAGGGGCAGAGGGCAACGAGCAAACTCCAGTTCTCAATGATTGCCGAGATCAGGTGAAATAAAGCTTTGTTTTAAAACAAAATATTTAAGTTATAGGAAATTTTAGAGTAAGTGTTAAAGCATGATTTTTTCATCATAGTTTAAGACTATATTTACTAAGGAATGCAATAGGGGCTTTTATTCCAAATTGAGTTTCACTTTGTGATTATAAATACTGCCAGGTGTTTAGACATTTTTTTTTAACCCACACACTCATCAATACACTTGACCCATCTAAGAGGTACCAAAATCCATCACGCTGCGTCTTTGTCTTCTGCGTTGCTTTGTCAGCTCTTTCTTGCTCTCTCCATTCTCTGTCTCTCTCCCTCCTTCCCTTTCTTGCTCTCTTCCCCCTCTGTCTCTCTCCCCCTTCTCCCTCTCTGTCTCTATTTCCCCCTCTGTGTCTCTCTCTCCTCTCCTCTCTCTCCCTCCCTCTCTCTCTCTGTCACCTAAATAAGACGTAAAGGGACACAGGTTCATGACCTCCCTTGGTGATGTTGGAGTTAAGGTCATGGACCCATTACCTGTGCTGGGAGCTGGCGTAAAGAGCCAACGTGCCAAGCCACGCAGCCACCGCAATGCTGATGCCCAAGAAGAACCGGAATGCCGTCTACGAACTCCTCTTCAAGGAGGGAGTGAGGTGGCCAAGAAGGACATCCACATGCCCAGTACCCGGAGCTGGCGGACAACGTGCCCAGCCTGCACGCGTGAAGGCCATGCAGTCCCCCGAGTCCCGAGGCCACGTGTGGGAACAGTTCGCCTGGAGACACTGCTACCGGCACCTCACCAACGAGGGCATACAGTATCTCCATGATGCCTGCACCTGTCACCCGAGATCGTGCCTGCCACCCTGCACTGCAGCCACCCGGGCCAGCAGGCCTTGACCCAAAGGCTCGGCAAGGAGAGGCCGACAGAGACGCTTACAGATGGAGTCCTGTGGCCCCTGGTGCTGACAAAGCCGAGCCTGGGGCTGGGTCAGCAGCTGAATTCCAGTTGAGAGGTGGATTTGGCCGTGGACGTGGACAGCCACCTCAGTAAAGTTGGAGGAGGAGATTATTTTGTGTTAAACAAATGTGTGTATGCAAAAAAAAAAAAAAATTGAGCTGCCGCCGTCCCCTCTGCCCCTCTCATCTCCCCATGCTTGTGTCCTGCAGACTGGCCAGCTGCCGCTTGGGTGGGCCCTGCTGTCCGGTCCTCTCTGAAGTGCTCCAGTGCAGTAGCAAGCTGACCCACCTGGACCTCAGCATCAACGTCCTGCAGGACGAGGGGCTGCGGGTGCTCTGTGCCGCGCTGGGCTGCCCAAGTTGCCATTTACAGTCGCTGTGGTAGGTTCCTGTTGCATGCCAAGCTGCCTCTTCTGGGCGTGTGCTTTTCCGGGAGGCTCTCGTGGTGGGGAAGCCTGTAGGGTTGTGCCGAGCGTGAGAGCAGCGCCAGAGCCCTTGACCGAGGTCCTGTAGGGATGCCTGTGTGGGCAGGGGGACAGCCTGGCTTGCATGGCACAGATTTAACTGATTGAGATTGGCCATTCTCCGTGGCAAGTGCAGAAACTCCTGAGAGATGGCGAGCAGGCTGGGCGATGGTCTTGGGGCTAAGATGGTGTCTGGCAATGGGAAAGCAGATCCCGGATGCAGGAAAAGCATGCTACAACACGCAAGCACACGTGAGAATTCCTGCGGACAAAGCAAGGGATGCTTGGGACGGGAGTAGGGCACAAGGCTAGGAAAAGGCCCTGACATGCGAGAGGGATTCGGGTGTCCGAGCGCCGTCATTTTCCTTGTCGCACTCTTGGGGTTTCTGACTGGGATGGCTTCGCCGGCTCACGGCCTCCTTCCCTGGGAATCTCCTGAGGCTAGTGGGATGGTGGAGAAAGATTCCGCTCAACTCACTGGGAAATGTCAGAGTTTGGAACTCGGTGCCCTAGCTGGGTATTCTGGGCTGGGCTTCTCTTGTTTGCTCGAGAGGCAGACCCACAGCAGGCAGTCCCTGTGCGCTGGGTCACTCCCTCGTGCCCGTGACGCCAGCGCTGGACAAGACCTTTCCAAGAAGCCAAAGACTCAGTGCACATTTCACCCGGGATGCAGCGCCCACTGCTCCACTCCCCCTGCAGCACCCTGCTGACGCACCGGGAAAGCAGCAGAGATGGCCCCTGGACCACATGGGAGATGTGGATGGGGTTCCAGGCTCCTGGCTTCAGTCCTGACTGCCCTGGCCATGGCACCCAGACAGTGAACCAGTGGGTAGAAAATTTCTCTCTGTATTTTTCCAGTAAACATAAATAAAAAGGAGTAAGATCTTCTTCCACCAATTCACTCCCCAAGTGGCCGCAGCAGTCGGAGCTGAGTCAATCAGAAGCCAGGAACTTCCTCCAGGTCTCCCACGTGGGGGCAGGGTCCCAAGGCTTTGGGCCATCCTCCACTGCTTTCCCAGGCCACAGGCAGGGAGCTGGATGGGAAGCGGAGCCACTGGGACACAAGTCACCAGTCTCCATATGAGATCCCATTACACACAACGGAAGGATTAGCCAGCAAGCCATAACTGGTCTTTTTAAAATACCCAGTGGATGCTTGTGGCTTTGATACTACTGAGATTGTGTACTGAGTGTTTGGAGGTTGTCAGTATGGAATGGGGGTCAGCAGGGACGAATGGAGAAAGTGGACACTTGTCTTGCAGGCTCTTCTACTGCGGCATTACGGCTGCCGGCTGTGAGGAGCTGGCCTCCGCCCTGCCCAGCTGCCAGGGCCTGAAGAACCTGCAGGTGGGGGGCAACAGCCTTGGGGACGCCAGCATGAAGCCACTGTGTGAAGCCTTGGCACACCCGAGCTGCCACCTGGAGATCCTCGGGTGGGTCTCACACGGCTTCCCAAGACTTGAGGGCTGAGCATGTGGCTCTGCCTGAGGGCCACTGCCTTGGAGTGTGGGGCTCCTGTGCGTGGGGGACGGGTGGTCTCAGCACACAGGCCAGGCATCCGAGGCTTGGGGCCTTCGGGAGGACCTGCCTGCCCCAGGACACCCCTGTGCCGGGAGATGCTGGAGTGTTCATGTCCACCCTGCTTCTGCTTGCAAGGACATCACCCACACCGCAGCATGGCCCGCCGGCCCTAGGGACCTCATTCTAATTGCATTGCTGGGTAAAGAGCCCGTCTGTAACTACAGTCCCCCTCCTCAAGTGCCGGGAGGCCACCACGTGAGATCTGAGGGCATGCGAGGCAGCCCTTGGCACCATCCTGGCAGCTGAAGGGCAGACTCAGGCCCATGTGACCTCCCTCCTACCCCCTCATCCAAAGCTAGGCACAAGCCGTGCTGGATCCAAGTGGGGAGATACACCCCAGTGTCAAGGGTGTGAACCAGGTACCGGCTGCAGGGTGCTGTCCATGGTGGCTGGTCAGGGAGCCCTAGCTGGCTGCCTGGCCCCTCTGTCCCCCCTCCCCCTGTCCCCAGGGGCTGAGCCGCTTCTCACTGGATTTCTTTGTGGCAGGTTGCAACTGTGTGGGCTCACCAGCGCCTGCTGCTTGGCCCTCTCATCAGCTCTCACCAGCAGCAAGACCCTGCGCAGTCTGGACCTGAGTGAGAATGCCTTGGACCTCAGCGGGCTGGTTGTGCTGGTATCTGCCCTGAGACAACCCACCTGTGCCCTGGAGGTGCTGGGGTGAGCTGTTCTCCCTTCTCCCCGCCCCCCAGGACACACCCTCGGGCTCAGAAGGGGCAAGGTAGAACCCCAGTGCGTATCAGTGTATGCCCTGGGTGCTCCGTGGGCGCTGTTGCAGCTGTTCCGAGGAACCCCACAAAGCCCTCGTGTGCTAGCCAGAAGTGGAAATGCGTGCACACAGGCAGGGCTGGTGTGCAGGCTCGGGGGTCAGACACATGCACACTCCTCGGCATGGGGTAGCGGGTCTTCCCCGATGGATGGCACCACGGGCATCTCCTGGCAAGAATGATGGTAAAACCATGAGATGCAGACGGGTGTCTTGAAGGGGCATAATCTGAACAGAGCCCTGTGTCCGAGCAGGCTGAAAGGCATGGAACTTGGTGAGGATGTGCGTGCCCTGCTGAAGGAGGACAGAGAGCCGCGGCTGACGATCGTGGACCGTTGATGAAGATGGGGACAAGCTTGCCGGCGCAGGTGCCATTGGAGCGTCGGACCAGGGAGCCCCAGGAGGACAGAGAGGGCCCCTGGCAGACCCTGCTCTGCCCCAGAAGTTGTGAACTGCCTGCACGCTGGCGTGCCGGGAAGTGTGGGGCCTCGTCAATGAGTTATACATAATAGCTGTGGTTTTTAATTTGCTCTGTGGCTGTGGACAATCCATGGAAAAGCTCCCTGTGGGTTTTCTATCCCATCTCATTAAGATATTTTAGCCACTCAATAAAGTATTGATTTTTTTTAAGGAATCATTTATTTTTATTAGAAATGCAGATATACAGAGGAAAGGAGACACAAAGAGAAAGGATAAACTTCCATCTGCTGGTTCACTACCCGACCAGCCATAAAAATCTGAGCTGAGCTGATCCAAAGCCAGGAGCCAGGGGCTCTTGCAGGTCTCCCATGTGGGTGCAGGGTCCCAAAGCTTTTGGCCGTCCTCCGCTGCTTTCCCAGCCCATATGCAGGGAGCTGGATGAAAATGCAGCTGCCAGGGTACAAACCAGCATCCATGTGGGATCCCAGGTGTGCAAGGTGAAAATTTAGCCGAAAGGCTATCGCATCAGGACCAAAGTCGTCTTTGTTAAAACACAATGGGAAATCTTTTTTTAAATCTTTATTATTACTTTTTATAATCTTACATGGTTGATTAGGGTACAAAGGGTCAAGGGCTACAGGAAAATGGGTAAAACCATTGTTTCCACACTAATATCATCATTTTTCCCCCTGCATCTGGGGTCAGTGGAGAAACAAAGGGAGAAGCCCCACCCAGCCTCCCACCCATCCCAGGCCCACGATGTGGGGCACGCTCCGAGGGTCCTGCTCAAGCAGTTTTAATAGTTCAGAAGTTCTGAATTGCTGCCAATCTCGCCATTCCAAGCATGATGAACTCTCTTCAGAATCCACTGGCTGACATAGTCTCTTCATGGTTGGGGTTCTGAGAGCAGCAGTTCAGTTGGAGGGATCTCCCAAGAAACTTCATCTGAGGTGATCCCAGACCTGATTCTTGGGTGTGCTTGCCAGTACAGGGTCTGGCACAGTCCGTCGCCCCAGTCAGCTTATGCACATGCTGGTCATTGCGATTGCTGGGCCAGTTCTGTTTCCAACCCTGTCTTCTACTTGGACAAATGGGTGTTGTAGTCCAGCTCGATCCTACCCACTTCATACTTGGTCCTCATGCAAACCAGTGGGAACTGCAGCCTAGCTGGGGCAACTCCCCATAACCCCTACCAGGCCTGGCCCCTACCCTGGTTCCCATGCTTGCCAGTATGTACCGCAGGCTTGTTCAGTCTGTCCCACATCCCATTTAGCTCTCTTACATGTCAATGGGCATTGAAGCCTAGTTCAACCCAACCAACCTACTATCCAGCCCCCACACACATGCTGGCGGGTGCCATTCTGTCCAGCCACCCCTGCCCCTGTCCTGGTTTTCATGCCCTCCAGTGGGAGTGGTACCCATGAGGGGGGTGCCCACTATCTCCCTACTAGGCCACTCCCACTCCTGGATTATGCACTCTCCAGGTGCTTCTGGAGGTTAACTTGACAGATTCAGCCCCCAGTGCCAGCCTCTGCCAGCTGATGATGTGGCGAAGTCCAACCAACCCTCACCCACTCTAATTTTTGCTTGCACCAGTCAGAACAGTCAGCCCAACCTGGCTCTTCCCTGATCTAGCTCACATGAGGCCCACAGGTGTTATAGCCCTGCCTGGTCTGGTCTGCCCCCATCCCAACTCATGCTCTCCAGTGGGAGTGCTTGTCCAGCAGGGAGCCCACATTCCCCCTGCCGGCTTTGCCCCCTCCCTCCCTGCTTCTCACGTGTGCTGTTTGGGTGCTGCGGCCACACCTGGCACGGCTCACCTCACCTTGGCATTCCATAATGTGTACTGGTTTGTGTTGTGACCGAACCTGGCCTGATCCACACTCTATTCTGGCGCTCAGATTCACCAGCGGGTGATGTGAACTGGTTCAGCCTGGTCTGCCCCCCGACCTGTGCCAAATGTATGCTGGTGAGCGTCTTCCTCGGCCTGGTCTGGGTTGCTCCCTATTGTGGCTCTTATGCTTACCTGCAGGGACTGTCTTCCAACAGAGGAAAGCTCCTCCATCAGAACCTCTCCCTGGGCCAGATCTTGCGCGTACTGGTGGTTCCATGGGCCAGCCCTGCTTTCTGGCCTTCAATCCATTCCAGTTCTTACTGTTAGGTGTTTCACCCCAGCCAAGGCTCATCCATACCCAGACACTGCTCACACGTGGCTCAGTAGGGACAGAGACCTAGCCTAGTCCATCCTACATCTACCCAGGTTCTCCAGAGCGCCAGATGGCGCTGGCGTCTAGTCCGGTTAGGTGCACCCAGCTCTAGTCCACATTTGTGCCTAGGGAGATTGCAGCCATATCCAGACCAGAACGCAGACCCCACTCTGGTCCCCGTACCCTCCTGTGGGAACCCCAACCCAGGAAGGGTGTACTCTCACAGCTCCCCAACGGAGGGGTGAAAACTATGGAAATGGGGGGCTCCTGTTACACAACTCCTAGTAGGCACAGGAATGAGGGAACCCAAGCTAGCCAGGGCCAGCTGTGGGTCATTACCACAGTGGGCAGCGGTCTCTGACAAAGGTGTTACTGCTGGATAGAGCAGCCACCACATCCTGTCCTGGCGCTGTGGCAGGCCAGCTCTCAGCCCAGCACCCCTGCTGGGAGGTGGGCAGCCCCTGGGCCACAGGCTGTGCACTCAGGGCTCACATCCACACGGCGCTCTCCCAGGTCACTCGGATTCCTGCGTGCAGCAAGTTGATGCTGAGGACAGAAAGTCCCCACGCGTGCGGCCCGGGGAGACTGGGGGATGGCAAACGTGCTGTTCCGCCTGTCTCTCGCACGTGCGCTATCTCTCTCTCTCCCTTTTATATAAATGAATACATCCTTAAAGTACAAAACCGAGCTCATCCTGAGCTCCCATCAGTTAATTGGCTTGACTGATTCCACGTGCTCTGCGTGTCCCACCGCGTTCCACCCTACAAAAACACAGTTACAACTCACCTACTCACAGCATAAGACAAAGCGGTTTTTTTGCTTTTTGTTTTGTTTTGTGCACAACTTACGTTTGGGAACGGTAATTCCAGGTGGGGATGGCACAGGCAGGCAGGCCCACAGCGATGGCGTCGAGCTGCTTGGGGAGGCTGTGCCTGGACACCACTCCCAGCACAGGTGCGAGCAGCCCGCTCATGAGCAGCCCAACCTGGCGCTCACAGGTGCAGCCGTGGTAGCCAATGAGGAGGCGCCTCCTTCCCAGAGCCCTCAAAGGCATCACTGAGCAGGCGTCCGTGGGCGTTGCTGTACTCGCCTGACTCCCAGCCGTGGACCCACGCATGCCGTCCGACCATGGAGGAGGCCCAAGGCGGTAAGTGCTCTTCGTGCTTGGTCCTTCTTCCCGTGGCTCTCCCTTCTCTCGGGGCCTTCCCGCTGCGTGCCTCCCCCTTCTCTGCCTTCATGCTAGTCGGAGCTCAGAACCCTAAGAACCCGGAGTTGCTGACCAATGCTCCCAGAACATCACTACCTGGGGTAGTCCGGTAAGCCCCTCGCCCTTCTGAGTCTGAAGTAGACCAGTTATGGTATTCCCACATTTAGGTGAGAGTTGGGGGAAGTCGGGGTTGTTACTGTATTCATTGTGTCTACAAAGCACAGCTATGACTTGTGGTTATCAGACTGGAGATCCTGAGGTGGTGTGGAGCCGGAGTTCCAGGCGAATGCCATGGTTTGCCTGGAGGGTAGCGGCCGTGTCTAGCTGGCTCCCGTGGACTCCAAGGCTTGGGCACCTGTGCATGAAGGTTCAGCGGAGGCTTTAGCAACCCAGCAGAACAGATGAGAGAGCTGTGGGGAGCCATTCCGTCGAAGAGAACGCGCACCTGCTCACCTGTGTGTGCCCTGTGACTTCCCTGGTGTGTTGCAAACGGTGAAGGGCTTCATAACCTTGGTGTGTGTTAACAAGTTAGCTTTCATCCCTTGCAAGGCAGAGAGCAAGACGGAGACACAGTTGGTTCCCATATGCTGGTTAGCTCCCCAGAGCCAGGAGCCAGGGACTCAATCCAGCTCTCCCCGGCCCACCTGCTGGTCCTTACGATGCATATCAGCAGGAAGCTGGAATGGAGCACAGAACCAGAGCTCAAGTCTAGGCATCCGTGGGGCACGGTGGCATATTCGGCCCTTTGCCTGCAGCACTGGCTCCAGTTCTGGCTGCTCCACTTCCAACTCGGCTTCCTGTTAATATAACTGGGAAAGCAGTGGAGAATGGCACGAGTGCTGGGGCCTCTGAGCCCACATGGGAGAGCCAGAGAAAGCGTCCAGGTTCAAGCCAGCCCCAGCTGTGGTCCTTGAAGCCATTTGGAGAGACTTTTTTTTTTTTATTCGGTCTGTAACTCTGCCTTTCAAATTCAAAAAGCTGCAAGAGTAACATCTGAAGCCTGGCCCCAGGATGGCGCTGTAAGAGGTTAGAAGTGACCATTTCTTCCACCTGTGCGGTCCATG